AATTCAAACACAGACACACTCCCAATATTTAGGGTTGACAAATCCACACCACATGTAACAATGATGATTGAGTCCAAAGCAGAGGCCAAGAACTTAGGTCCAATGTGTGCACTGATATTGGCCAGTAATTTAAAACCAATGTGTGTGCAACAGGGACAATTACAATACATTGTACTGCATAGTGAAACCACAGGAGGTTATGTGATCAAATTCAATGACCCAATTGAATATAAAGCCACTATGCAGGAAGTACAGAGAACAAGGACACATGGCAGGGAAAATACCAATTCAAACCTATTTGAAGAGCAGAAACACACTTTACCTGAGAGGCTATGGACAAAACATGCATTTGACATCGGGAAAGCAGAAGGAATCCTGCCAATAAAACTACTGTTTGATGACCAAGTGTGTTACCAGAAGCAGTATCCCATTAAAGCAGGACTCCAGGACAAATTGAAGTACACAGTCTCAGAATTGGTGAAGGCAGGAATAATTGTTGAAGCGCCAGAGTATACGCCATACAATATTCCAATGTTGGCAGTAGACAAGGCAGGAAAACCATACTGCAGACTAGTGAATGACTTCAGGAAATTAAATGAGAGATCACAAGACAAACTATTGGACACACCTGACCCACACAGAGCAATGGCATTCTTACCAGCGTCTCATAAATGGTTTACCACCATTGATTTATGTAACGCATACTTCTGCATCCCATTGCACCCTGAGTGCTGGAAGTATCTGGCATTCACAGTCGAGGGGAAGAAGTATGTGTATACGCGTTTACCACAGGGTCACTGCGCTGCACCTGGGATCTTTAACAAATTGATCCAGGACGTGCTCTCTGAGATTGACATTGACCCAGACAAAAACTTTGTTCTGGCCTATGTAGATGATATTCTAATCTCAGGAGTATCTGAAGAGGCATGTACAGAAATCACTATGAAAGTCCTTAGAGTAGTGGCAGAAAAGGGGTTCAAAATTGATTATGACAAGTGTGCGTTTGTAAGACAGAGAGTATCTTTTCTAAAGACTTATCTCACTTCAGAAGGAGTCATGTGTGACCAGTCAAGACTGATCAAACTATCAGAGTTCCCCAGACCAAAAACAGTGAGAGAAATGATGTCCTTCATAAATACGGCAAGCTATATCAGGAAATATATTTTCAACTTCTCCTACATGATGAAGCCCTTGCAGAAAATGTTGACTGATGTAGGCTACACAGATTATGATGGGATCTTGACATGGACTGAGGAGCAAGCACAGGCATTTCAATCAATCAAAGAAAAACTATCAATGGTGCAGACTTTACACTGCGTTGATAGGAAATACCCAATTATGATGGAAATCACAATGACGGGAGAGTATTATTGTGCAGTGTTGTTTCAGAAAATAGCAGATGCACCCAAAATATTGTACATATTCAGCTCCAATCTCAGAGGATCAGAAGCACACCACTTCTCATGTGCACGTTATGTAATGGCCCTTAAGAACTCACTGGTTTCCACATCACACATAATCTTGGACTCAGAGGTGATAGTGAGAACGCCACATAACATGTATGCAGCTTTGAAGGGAACACATTTGCATTGACAAATTCAATGTCTCAAAAGATTCATCTGTTACTCGTAAATATGCAAGTTACATTTGAACCAACAGACTCTCCAATATTACCATTTACTATCTCAGGCCCAGTTCACCAGTGTGAGGTCCAACATAGTGAAGAAACAAACTTGATCAAAAAGTTGGGCAGGTCAGAGATTGAGGGGTCACATGCTATTTTTATAGATGGACACTCGCATAGAGACAAAACTGGAGCATTGGTTGCAAGCGCAGCAGCAGTCATCCATGACAGGGAAACATCACCTGTTACCAATCCTGATTTTAACATACTGAAGGCAGAGGCGCTGGCAGGAAGTCAGCTCAGTATGCAGAATTAGAAGCATTTAGCCTGCTTTGGAGAACAGGCCAGAAGGACCTATCACAATATATACTGACTCTGAGTATGTGCATTCTACAGTGCATTTACACTTGCCAATCTGGTATTGCATGACAATTTCATCACAACAAAAAATTTGAGACCTACACATTTGGAATTATGGCAGAAGGTGGCAGATCAAATCAAGAATGTACGTCACAAAACTGCATTGGTCAAGTGCAGAGCACATACTCGAGCCAGAGACTTTGTGGCAAGGGCAATGAGTTTGCTGATAGAGTTGCTAAAATGACAGCTGGGTATGACAGATAGTACGGCTCTGCAGGCAGTTATTGAAGACAATCCTGAGGAACAGAGGCACCAGTAAGGAAAGAGAAGAGAACAGTCCACACATATTGCAAGAAAATCCCTCACTGTATGATGTGACAGCATGGAAAACTGCAGGGCCATTAAAAACAGTGAAGGAGTATTCTATGATACATTTGGTAAACCGTGCGTGACTACTAAAAAACTACTACAGATCATTCAAAGTAAGCATGAGGAAACACACATAAAGTGCTCAAAACTTTTTTCAGAACTAAGACGGCACATGTTCCATCCTTTTATGCTACCAACCATCCAGCATCTATGTGACTCATGTGACATATGTCAAGGGCTCTCTAAGGCAAGGCTGTGAAGCAGGCATAGGAGCATACCCAGTGCCTCCATGGCCCATGGCAGAAATCGTAATTGATTTCATCGACATGACTGCTGATAAGAAAGCGATGGGTGTAGATACGTGCTCACAATGATTGACCCACTCACACGATGGCCTGAAGCTTTTCCTTTGGCAAAAGCAAATGCAGTCCAGTAGCCAAAGTATTCTTGACAGAGATCTTTCCAAGGTACGGCCCGGCGAGAGTTATCAGATCTGATAACGGCTCGCATTTTAAGAACCAACAATGACCCAACTATGTGAGAGGCTGAATATAAAACAGCATTTTGGAGCAGTGTTTGCACCCGCAATCACAAGGGTGATTGAAAGGTTCAACCAACACTGAAAAACAGATTGGCACACATGTATAGGTCTGAAAAATGAATTGGAAACAGGCACTGCCTATAGCCTTGATGGCAATAAGAGGAGAACCAAGCAGCCAATTTTTATGTCACCATTCCAACTGATGTATAGACACATGCCCAGAACTTATCTCGTTCACTGAGCTCCCACCTCCACAGCCACTGATGATGCTAGGAAACTTATATGAAAACATTGGTCACTACAGGAGACCTGACCCATCTCCAAGCCCCCTTTGCAGCTGTAAAAGACAACTTACAGTTGGAGGCTACATTTATGTGAAAAACCAGAAACATTGTTGGATCAGCTAACTTGAAAGGCCCATTTAAAATCTCCAAACTATACCAGTATAACCTTGAAATATTACTTAGACACTCACAAACTACAGATCATCATTTGTCACATATCACACACTAGCCCACTAGTGCACCAAAAGATCCCTGCTTGATGTAATAGAATATCACTACGTCATCAGAAAAGAGGCCGAAGGACAGAGAGGAAGTGTCTGACTCTATTAGTTAAACATGAGTTCTAGAGGCGAGCAACCCTAAATGCACCTATACTTACTGTTTTAACCAATAGAATTATCACCATAAAAATGTATTAATTGCCCAATATATATGTATGTAAATGTAAAAAAAAAAAAAAAACAAAAAAAAAAAAAATGTTATATATATATATATATATATTAATACTAATAAATTGAACTAACACAAAGGAGAATCCTTGGTTATATAATTCTTCTCTATACAGTCCCAGTGCGTCTGATAAGAAAGGAGACATCACCATACAGCTATGAGGATCCTCAACCCATTAACTGACGAGAGTGTTTGCATTGATCGAGCAAGGCTTGCTAATACAGGCTGAAATGGCGCACTGAAGATGCCCTTTCGTCAATGAAGCCTTCCGATGCGGACACGGATCAACATTGGACCAAGCAGCCCAGATATCCCTGACAGTGTCTCTCCAGATACCCTGTGTGCAAGTGTCTGATGGCATAGGACTAGTGATGACAATAGTATGAGAGACCTTCTGAACTGTTGGAAGTTGAGATTTTGGACTTTGGGCTCTGGACTTCCAGACGTTGACATCGGAGTTGAGGTTCTGGCCCCTGAGTTCAGATCTGATATCGGATTTGACAGTAAATTGGAGACAGGTTTTTGAGTCCTGGACATTGGAGATTGGTTGTTGAAGGTCAGGCATGAGGTTCAGATGTTTGAATATCAATATTGCCATTTTAGATTTTGGATTCAGGTTTGAAATAATGGTCGATGACTTCAGTTATTGAAGAATTTGGCAATTTTCTCCTGACTTTATGATTGGCTGATCAAGGGTCTGTGCATTTAACTGACGTGGTTTGGATCCGACATAAGTGATAAGGGGGTACAAATTGGACCTTAAGGATGTTTAATTTATCACAGGATTGTATAAAACAGGGAAGATTGATTATTGATTATTTTTTATTGATTGATTATTAATATTATTTTTATAATTATTGATTGAATATAAAAAAAAAAAAAAAAAAAATATTCATGATCCAGAATCAACTATTTAATGAGCAATTGACAAATCAAAGCTGAAAACACTAATCTGGTATGCATGGATAGACTTTAAACTGAGGTGTTCACCATGCAGTACTCTCAACATGATAGGACCATGGACACTCTTAGGTTGAGGACACGAGAGTGGTGAGTATGGGTAGTATAGGATTATAGCGAGTTTTTTATGTGGCCTGGAAACAGATGATTAGCCAGTATGCAAAACCAACAACTCGTCTATGGTAAGAAAAAAACTCTTGTGTCAATTCCTCAATTTCTGATTATTCAGACATTTCACCCCAAACAAATGAAGAACCAAAATTCAACCTACAAAGGAACAGGATAAAAATAAACCAAAAAGGGAATTGGGTTGGGGTGTTGGGGGGTGGGGGGGTGGGGTTGTGTTGTTGGGTGGGGGTGTGTGTTTTGGGTTTTTGTGTTGTTATTTGGGGTTGGGGGTGTGTGGGTTTGTATGTTTTGGGGTTTTTTGGGTTGGGTGGGTGTGGGTGGGTAGTTTGTGGATTGTTGGGGGTTTGGTTATTTGTTGGGGGGTTTGTTTTATTTTGTGAGGGGTGTGTTGGGATGGTAGATTGAGAGTGGTATGTTTTGTTTTATATTTTGGAAGTTTGTTGTAATTTAGAGTAGTAGTGATGGGGTAGTATTTAAAAGAATTTTTGAGAGGGAGGGTAGGTAGGGGTTAGGTGGGTTTGTGGAAAGATTGGTGAGGTTTGTTGTGGTTTGGTGGTATAGTTGGGGTGGGTGGGGGTGTGATATGGGGTGGGGTGGGGGGGGGAGTGGTTTGGGTTTTGGTGTTTGAGTTGTGGGGTGTTGGAGAGTGTATGGTGGGGTGGTGGATTGTGGTGGGTGTGGAGGGGGGTGTGTGTGGTGGGGGGTGTGTTTGGTTTTTGTTGTGTGTTTGTGGGGTTGGGTGATGGGTTGTTGATTGTTGGTTGGTTTGGTGATGATTATGAGGGGGGTATGGTGGGTGTTGTGTAGTTGTGGTGGAGGTGGGGGTGTGTGGGGGGTGTGGGGTTGGGGAGGTGGTGTAGGTGTGGTGTGTTTGGTGGTGTTGTTTTGGTGTGGTTAGGGTTGGGGGGGGGTTGTTTGGTTTTGGGGGGGGGGGGTATGTTTTTGTGGGTTGGGGTGTTTTTGTGTTTGAGGGGGTGGTGGGGTTGGGTATTGGGTTGGGGTTTTGGGTTATTTTTGGGGAATTTTTTTGGTGTGGGATGTTGTGTGGGTGTGTGGGTTTTTTGTTGGGTGTGTTAGTTGTTGGTTGGGGGGGGTGTTGGGGTTGTGGTTGTGATTAGTGTTGTGGGGTTGGTGGGGGGGGGGGGAGGTTTGGGTGGTGGTTTTGGGGGGTTTTTGTATGGTATTGTGTATTGGTTGGTGTGTGGGGAGATTTTGATATGTATAGGGTTGGGGGTTGTTGGGTGGGGGGGGGGGGGTATGGGGGTGTAATGGAGGGGTATTTAGGTGGGGGGAGTTGTGTTTTAGGTGGTTGGGTTGGTGGGGGTGATTTGGGGGTGAGTTGGGGTTGGGGGTTGGGTGAATGTTTTTTGGGGATGGATGGATAGAGGTTTGGGGGGGTTTTGGTGGTTTAAGTGAGATGGGAGGTTTGTTAATTGTGGGAGGTTGGGGATATGATTGGTGAGGAGGGTGGGGATAATTTGGGTTGTGGTTGGGGTAGGGGATTGGGTTTTGTGGGGGATTGATGATATTTTGTGGTGGTAAGAGGTGTGGGTGGATTTGGTGGTGGGGTGGTAGGGGGGGATATTGATATGGGTGGGGGGGGGTGGGGGGTGTATTATTAGGGATAGATGGGAGTTTTGGGGAGGATTAGTGGGGGGGATGGGATGGAAGGGATGATTGTGGGTTGGGAGATAAGGAGTAGAGTTGGGGGAGAGGGGTGATGTAGTAGGGTTGGTATGGGAGGATGGTGGATTGTTGATGGGAGGTTAGGAAGTGTTGGTTGTTAGGGTTTTTAGGGTTTGGGTTTTGTGGTGGGAGGTAGGGGAAGTGAGAGGTTATGGATTTTATGGGAGTGATAGGTATTGGGGGGATGTGGATATAGGGTGTGATTAGGAGGATGTATGTTTGTTTTTTTTTAAAAGGAAATGTAGTATAATTGATGAAGATGAGGAGATATTGTGGGGGTTGTTGTGTTATTTTGTGATGTTATTGTTGTTATTGTGTTGTTGTTGTGTTGTTTTTGTTTGTTGTTGTGTAGTGTTGTGGTTGTGATTTGTTGTGGGGGAGAGTGTGGGGTGGGTGGGGTTGGGAGGGTGGAGGGGTGGTGGGGGGGTGTTATATTTAGGGGTGATTGGAGGATTATGTTGTTGGGTTAATGGATGGATTTATGGGGAAGTGGTAGTGTATGTAGGGTGGGGGGGGGGGGTGGGGGGGAGAAGGGTGGGGGGGGGGGGGTGGGGGGGGGTGTATGAGTGGTAGTGGGGGGGGGTTTGGTGTGTGGTGGGGGGGGGTGGGTGGGGGGGGGGGGGGTGGTGTGGGGGGGGTGGTGGGTGGGGTGGGGGGGGGGGTGGGGTTGGGGGGGGGTTGGGGGGTGTTTGATTGGGTTGGTTGGGTGAGTTTTATGTATTTTTGTTGGTTGATTTGATGTATTTGTGTTTTTTAGGTTATGGTGATTTATTGGATAGATGTTATAGGGAATGTTGTGTAGTGTTTATGGTTGTGTTTTTGTATATGTTATATGTATATGTATGTGTGTTTGTGTTTTAGTGTATATGTATATGTTTGTGTATGTGATGTTTATATGTATATGTATATATTATATGTTTGTGTGTATGTGTATTATATGTTATATGTATTGTTGTAGTGTATGTGTATAGTATATGTTATAGTATATGTAGAATTGTTGATGTATGTGGGTATGTGTATATGTAATTATTTGTATATGTATGGGGTGGGTTTGGGGATTTGTTTATTATATGTATATTATTATGTTTTTGGTATATGTGGATGTGATGTTTGGTTAGGTGAGTGTATGTGTTGTGATTGGGATTAGTGATTATGGGGTGGTGTGTGATAGGGTAGTAGATGGGGTTTAGATTGTGAGAAGTTATTAAATGTGTTATGATGATGTTTGATATTTTGGTTTGGGGTTGTTTAGGTTTTGTTTGTGGGGGGATATTTGGGGTGTGTGTTTTGATATATTGTGGTTTTTATGGGTGTTTGGTTTTGATATATTGTGGTATGATTGTTTGTTGATGTTGTTGTAGGTAGGGAGGTTTTTGGTGTTTGTTTTTAGTGGGTTTGGATGTATAGGGTGGATATAGGTGTTTAGGGATGATGGGGTTGTTGAGTTGTTAAAAGGGAATGATTAGTGAGTATTGTAGGTATGGTTGATGTGAGGTTGTTGTAGGTTTTGGATGAATTATGGAGAGTTGGAAGGGTAGAGGATATTATGTTGAATGAAAGGTTATGTGGTAATGTGGGGATGTGATTGTATGGTTGGGGTTTTGATTAATGTGTGGTGGTATTGGGTGTGGGTGGTGGGGTTTTGTGGGGTTGTGTATTTTTTGGGGTTGAGGGTAGGTGTTGTTGGGGGTGTTGGTTGGTTGATGTGTGTGTGATTGGGGGGTTGTGTAGGGGTGGGGTTGTTGTGGGATGTGGTGGTTGTGTGTTGTTGATGGTGTTTTTGGGGTGGGGTTAGTTATTGGATTTGGATGTGGGGTGGGGGGGGGGGGGGTGTGGGGGGTGGGTGGGGGGGTGGTGGTGTTAGTTGGGTTGGTGGTTGTTGTGTTGTGGGTGGGGGGGTGGGGGGGGGGGGGTTTGGGGGTTGGGGTTTGGTGGGGGTGGGGTTTGTTGGTTGTGTGTGTGTTGTTATTTTGGGGGGATGTTAGGGGTGTTGGGGGTGGTTGTTGTGGGGTGTGTTTTTGGGGGTGGTGTTTGTGTGTTATAGTAATTGTTTTAGTTATGTATTATTATTTGTGATTGAGTTTTTGTTTTTGGGGGGGATGGTTTTATGGTAGGTTTGGGTATGTGGGGTTGTTAATGGGGTTGTTGATGTGTGATTTTGTTATAGTTAGATTTTGATTTAGATATATAAGTGAATTATAGAAGAGTTTGTTGTAAATAGGTTGTTGATGGGTATTGGGTGATAGATATGGGTGGGGTTTTGATGTTTATAGTTTATAGTATAGTTTTTATTTTGTGGGTTGGTGTGTGGTGATTTTAGTTGGGGTGGGGGGGTATTGGTTGGGTTTTGTGTGGGTGTGGGTGGTTTGTTGTGTTGTGTGGGTAGAGGGGTGTTGAGGGGTGTGGGGGGTGGGGGGGGGGGGGTTTGGGGGGTAGTGGTGTGTATTTTGAGGGGATTGGGGGGGGGGGGGTTGGGATTGATAGATGGTGATGATGGGGGGGGGAGGGGTGTGGAGTTGGTGTGGGGGGGGGTATGGTAGGTTTAGTGGGGTGGTTGGGTGGTTGGGGTAGGATAGGGAGGGGGTGGTAGTGGGTGTTTTGTGTGTTGTGTGTTGTGGGTGGGGGGGTTGTTGGGGTATTGTTGGGTTGGGGGGGGTGTGGGGGTGGGTGGGTTGGGTTTTGGTGGTGTGGGGTGATTGTTTTATGGGGGTGGGGGGATGGTATGGGTTGGTGTGGGAGTTTATGTGGGGGTTTGTTGTGGTGGGTTTGTGTAGGTGTGGGGGGGTTTGGTTTTGGTGTATTTTTGGGTGTGGGGTGGTGGTTGGGGTGGATGGGGGGATTGTGATTTGGGTGGGTTGTTGGTGTGGGTTGTGTGGGTTAGGGTGGGGGTTGTGGGTTGGGTTAGGGGGGAGGGTTTTGTGGTTTTGTTGGGGGGTTTGGTGTGGTGTGTTTTTTGGGGTGGTAGGTGGGGTATGGGTTGTGTTGTGTAGATGGGTATGTTGGTGTGGTTTGTGGGAGGGTGTGTGGGTTGGGGTTGGGGTGGGGGGGGGGTGTGTGTTTTAGTTGGTGGAGTATGAAGTGGGGGGGTTGTTATGGGGTGGGGTTGGGTGTGGTGGGGGGTGGTGGGTGTGTGTGGGGGTGGAGGGGGATGGGGTGGTTGTTGGGGGGTGGTTGGGGGGGGTGGGGTTGGTGGTGGGGGTGGTTTAGGGTGTGTTTGGGGGGTGTGTGGGTTGGGGGGGTTTGTGTTGGGTTGTTTGGGTTGGGGGGGGTGGGTGTGGGTGGGGGTGGTGTGGTGGGGGGGGGGGTGAGGTTGGGGTTTTGGGGTTTGTTTGTGTGGGTTGTGGGTTGGTGTGGGGTGGGGGTATGGTGGGGGTGGGGGGGGTGGGTGGGGTTGGGGGGAGGGGGGTGGTTTGGTGGTGGTTGGGGGGGTGGGGGTGGGGGGGGGGTGGTGTGGGGGAGTAGGGTGAGATTGGGAGGTGGGGGTTGTGGTTTTGGGTGGGTAGTGGGGTGGGGTTTGGTGTTGTGTGGATGTGGTTTTGGTTGGTGTGTGTGGTTATTGGTTGGGGTGAGTAGTGGGTTGGGTGGGGTTGGTGGTGTTTGGGGGTTGGGATTGGGTTGGGGGAGAGGGTTTGGGGGTGATTGGGTTTTGTGGGTGGTTGTGGGGTGTATGGTGATGGTGTGTGGGAATTAGTTGTGAGGTAGGTGATTTGTGTTATATGGTGGGGGGGGGGGATAGGGGTGGTATGGGTGTTGGGGTTTGGTGGTTTGTTTGGTGGATTTTTTGGGTGGAGGGGGGTTGGATAGGTGTTGGTTATGAGGTTTTGGGGTGGATAGTAGGGGGTGGTTTGTATGGTGTTGGTGGTGTTAGGGGGTATTTTATTTGATGTGGTTAGTGGTTATGGTGGGTGTTGATGGGATGTTTGTGTTTGTGGGGGGAGTGGTTTTAGTGGTAATTGGGGGTTGATGTTGGGGGGTGGTTGTGTTGTTGTTTTTATTGGGGTTTATGGTGAGTGGGGGTATGTTGTAGTTGAGGGGGATGGATGGGGGGGTATGGGTTTGTTGATTGGATGGGTAAGGTAGGAGGGTTTTTGGGTTGGTTGGTGTGGGTATGATGGTTGTGATTTGTGTAGTGTTGTGATATGGGGTTGTGGTTGTAGGGGGTTGGGATTGGAGTTTGTGATTGTAGTTTGGGTATGTTGTGGTTGTGGGGGGTATGGTTGTTGGAGGGGTGTGGTTGGTGATAAGAATTGAGAAAAGTGTGATAAGTATAAAGTGATTGGTTGGGATTGATAGAGATGATGGGGATGGTGGGGAGGTATGAGAGATAGTGAAGGGTGGGGAGGGGAAGTTAGGATTAAGGGTGAAGGGAATAATGTGTGAGATGATTGGTAATTTTGTGTTGGAGTTAGGGTTGGGTGTTGGTTGGTGGTGGGTGGTTTGGGGGGGGGGTGAGTGTGTTGTGTGGTGGTTGGTGGGGGTAGTTATTTTGTTGTTGTGGTGGTTGGGGTAGTTTTGGATATGGTGTTGGTGAGGGGGTGGGGTTGTGGATGTTATGGGGGGGTGTTTAATTTATGTTATGTGTATATGTGGTTTTGGTGTGGTGGGGGTTGGGTGTGGGTTGGGAGGGGAGTGGGGGGTGGGGGGATGGGGGGGATTTGGTGTGGTGTTTGGGGTTGGGTTTTGGGGGGGGGGGGGGGTTTGGGTTGGTGTTTTTTGTGTTGTGGGTGTTGGGGTAGGTGTGTTGGGTGATGTGGGGTGGGTGTGGTGGGGGTGGGTGTGTGGGGGGGTATGGGTGGGGGGGTGGTTTGGGTTGGGATGGATTTGGTGTGTTGTTTTTGGGGGGGTGGGGTTGGGTGGTTGTTAGGTGTTGTGTTGAGTAGGTTTGGAGTTGTTGGATTGGTGTTTGGGTTGTGTGTAGGGGTGGTTTGTATGGTGAGGGTGGGGGGGGGTGGGGGTGTGTGGTTGTGGTGGGGGGGTAGGGGGGGGGGGTGGTGGGGTGGTTGTGGGTGGGGTTAGGGGGGTGGGATGGGGGGGGGGGTTGATGGTGGGGGGGGGTATGGGGGGAGGTGTAATAGGGGTATAAGGGGGGAAGGATGGTGTGGAAGGGGTGTGTGGGGGGGGTGGGAAAGGGGGGGTTTGGTGAATTGTGATAAGATGTGGATTTTGTTGGGTTTTTGTTTGTGGGGGTGGTTGGTGTTTGTAGGGGGGGGGAGGTTTTTAGGTTGAATTTAGGGTGGGGGGTGTTGGGGGGGGGATTGTGAGTTGGATGGGTTGTGGGGTGTTGTTTTTTTTAGGGTATTTAGTGGGGGATGGGGGGGGGGTTAGGTTGTGGGGGGAGGGGGGTTTGGAGGAGGGGAAGTTGTGGAGATAGGTTGTATATGTAATTATATTAGGGGGTTTGTTTTTGGAGGTGGGGGGAAGATTAGATTTTTGGGAGGGGGGGGGGAGTATGGGAGTAGGGGAGGTATATTTTTGTTGGGTAGGTGGTTGGGGGTGGGAGGGTGTTTGTGGGGTGGGGTGGGGGGTGGTTATTGTTGGATGAAATTGTGGTTTTTTTATAAGTGGGGTTAGTGAAAGGGAATTTAATGTTTTGTTGGTTGAGGGATTAAGTTAGGTGGGGGTGGTGGGGGGGTTTTTTATAGTTGGGTGTGAGATTTATGTGTGGGGAGAGGGGTTAGTATAGGTGTGGTGAGGTGGTGGATGTTATGTGATATGGGGTGGTTGTTGGTTGTATTTGTGGGTGTTTGTATGTTGTTTTTGGTGATTTGGGTGGTTATTAGTGGGGGGGGGTTGTTTGGAGGTTTGGGTGGGGTGTGTGTGGGTTGGAGTGTGGGGGGGGGGGTTATGTGGGGGTTATGTTGGGTTTGTTGGGGTGGGTTTGTTGGGGTTGGTGGGGGGGGGGGGGAATGGTTTTGTGGTGGTTGGTGGGGGGTGGGGGTAGGGGGGGATTATGGGGATGGTTATGGTTATAGGTGGTGGTGGATGTAGTTTGGTGGGTTTTGAGGGGGGTTGTAGGTGAAAGATTTGAGGTGTGTGTTTGGGTTTGGTGGGTTATGGGTGTGTGGGGTTGTGGGGGGGGTGGGGGTATGGGTTGGGGTGGGGGGATGGGGTGGGGTGGGTGGTGGGTTTAGTTGTTTGGGGTTGGGGGTAGTTGGGTTGAGTGTGGGTTGTTTGGTGTGGGGTGGGTTTTAGTTGTGTGGGGGGGGGGGGGGGGTTGGGGAGGTTGGTAGGGGTGGGATTGTTTGGTGGTTTGGGGTTTGTTTTGTTTTGTGGTTGTGGGGGGGGGGGTGGGGTGGGTTGGTTGGTGTTTTGGGTTATTGTTTTAGTGGTGGGGGTTTGTTGTGATTGGGGGTGGGGTTGGGTGGAGGGGGAATGGGGGTGGGTTGGGGGGGGTGTTTGGTGGGTATGTATAATGGTGGGTGGGTGTGGGTGGGGGTTGGGTGTGGGGGGTGATTTTGGGGTGTTGGGGGGGTAGTTGGGGTGGGAGGGTAGTGGGGGGGGGTGGATGGGGAGGGGGTGGTGGGGTGTGTTGGGGGTTGTGTGTGGGGGTTGTTTGGTAAGTTGATTTTGGGGGGGGGTGGGGGGGGGTTGTGTTGGGTATTTGGGGGGGGTTTGGTGTTGTTGTGATTGTTGGATGTGGTTTGGAAGTGTATTGAGGGTAGAGTTAATTTGGTGTGGTAGGATTTTGTGGGGGTATGGGGTTGGTTGGGGGGTATGGGTTGGGGGGGTTTTGTTGGGGGTTGGTAGGGTGGTGATTTGGGGATAGTGTTTGGGTTGTGGTTGTTGTTGGGGGGGGTGGGTGGTGATGTGGGTGGGGGGGTGTGGGTTGGAGGGTTTGGTGGTTGGGTGTTGTGGGGTTGTGGTGGGGTGGTGTGGGTATTGGGATTGGTGTGGGGTGGGTGGTTTTTGGTTGTTGAGTTGAGGGGTGGTTGGTGGTTTGGGGTGTGTATGTGGGGGTATTTGGGGGGTTGTGTGGTGTTAGTGAAGTTGTGAGGGGGGGGGGTGGGGGGGTGGGGGGTTGTTTTGTGGGTGTGTGTTTTGTTTGTGGGTGGTGGTGTTGGGGGGTGGTGTTAGGGTGGGGTGTGGTGGGGGATTTGGTTTTTATTTTTGGGTTTGGTGGGTTTTTGTGGGTTTAGGTATGGGGGTTTGTGTGGGGGGTGGTGTGGGTGTGGGGGGTTGTTTGGGGGGATGGTGTGGTGGGGTTAATGTGGGGGGGGTGTTTATGGGTTGTGGGTTGGGGGGGTGTTTTGTGAGGTGAGTTGATTTTGTAGTTGTTGTGGGTGGGTTTGTTGGGTTGTATTGGTGGTGGGTGATGTGGTTGGTGTTGGGGTGGATGGATGTGGGGGGGGGGGGGTTTTTAGTTGGGGGGTGTGTGTGTGGGGGTGGTTGTTGGGTGTGGGGGTTATGGTGGGGGGGGATATGTGGTGGGGGTGATGGGGGGTGGTGAGTTTAGTGTGGTGGTTGTTGTTTTTAGGTGGGATGTGTGGGTTTGTTATGGTGGGATTGGTGATTTGTTTGTAGGTTTGGGGTGTGGTGGTGGGTAGAGTGGGTGTGAGGAATGGGGTTTTAGTTATTGTATGGGGTGGAGGTTGGTTTATTTGGGGGAGGGGTGGGTGGTGGGGTTAGGGGATTTGATGAATTGTGGTTTGATGTGATGGGGTTAGGGTTTTTGTGTTTTGTTTGAGGTTGGTGTGGGGTGGATATATGGGTATTTTTTGATAGGAAATTGTATTAGGGAAAATTGATTGTTTTATGGGTGGGGGGAGAATTATATTGATTGTTGGTATTATTTTGAGATGTGGGGGTGGGGGTTTTTTTTATTTGTTTGTTTTGGGATTGTGGATGGTGGTATGTAATGGGGGTGGGATATGATATAGTTGGTTAAGTTTGTATTGTTATATTGGTGTTTGAGGGGTGGGGTTATATTTTTGGTAGGGTTATGGGGTTTATAGGGTTATTGGGGATGGTTTGGGGGTTGTGAGGAGTAATTGGTGGGGGTGAGATTGTGGGGTTTTGGTAGTGGGGGAGGGGGGGGTTTAGTGTGGGTAGTGGATGGGGGGGGGTGTTTGGAAGATTGATTTAGTGTTTGTAGGGGAGGGGGTAAAGGTAGGAAAGGGGGGATAGGGGGTAGGATTATTAAAAGAAGAAGAATAGTTGGAGGGGAGATTTTGTGTATTGGGGATGGGGTAGAGTTATGAGAATATATGGATATATAGGTGATTGAAGGGAAGAGAGTGAGATTTGATTTTATGAATGGTTGGATGGGGGGGATGGGGAGTTTGTTGTAAATTATTGGTAGAATATTAGGGTTTGGAATGGGTGGTTTGTTTATGAGGTGTTTTTAATGGAAGTGTATGGTGTGGGGGGGGATAGGTTTTGGGGTGAGAATGGGTAGGGGTGTGGTGGTAGTGTTGGGGGAATGTGGGTGTTGGTTGATGGGGTGTGATAGGTGGGTGGGATAAATTGTTTGGTTGGGGGTTGTGTGGGTTTAGTTGGGAGTAGTATTATTTAATGTGGGGGTGGTGTTGTTGGGGGTTAGGGTTGGGTTGGGTATGGGGAAGGATAAGGGTTTAATATATTTTTGGGGGGTGTGGATTTTAGGGATGGGTTTTGGGTATTGTTTTTTGTATGGGTTTTTGGTGGTGGGGTGGTTGTGTGTGTGGGGGTGTTTTTTTTGGAGGTGGGGGGGTGTGAGGTGTGGTTGTATGTGTTTTTGGGTTGGTTTTTGTAGTGGGGGGGGGGGGGGTGGGTGGTTTTTGTTGTTGTTGGGTTTGGGGGGGGTTGGTTTTTGGTGGTGGGGGTGGGGTTTGTTTGTGATGGTTGTTTTTGTGATATTGGGTTGGGTGTGGGGGGGTTGGTTTGTGTGTATTTTGGGGTATGTTATTTATTGGGGGTGGGTGGAGATATTGGTGTTTTATGTTGTTTGGGGTTGATTTGTTGTGTTGGGGGGGAGGTGGGGGTTTGGGTGTGTTGGGTTTTATATATAGTATTTTGAGTTATTTTTTTGTTTTGTGGTGTTTGTGTGTGGTGGTATAGATGTGGAATATATATTGTGAGGGATTTTAAAGATTAGGGGTTTTTGTTGGGGGGGGGTGTAATTTTTTGGTTGGGGGGGTGTGGGGGGTTGGTATGGTAGTGTATGGTGTTGAGGTGGGGTTGTGGTGGTTTTGTTGTGTTTGTGGTTGTTGGTTGGGTTGTGGGTTGGGTTAAATTTGTTAGAGGGAGGGGTGATTTGTGTGGTAATGAGTTGGTGTTATTTAGGGTGTTGAATTTATTTTGGTGGGGTTGGTGGGGGGGGGGGGTGGGGGTGTGGGAATAGTTGTGGAGAGGGGTAGGTTTTTTTTGTGTGTTGGGGGGGGGGGGGTGTGAGGGGTGTGGGTGTGGTTGGTGGGTGGTGGGGTTTTGGGGGGAGTTGTGTGGGGGGTGGGGTGGTGGGTGGGTTGGGGTTGTGTGAGTAGGTTGGTGTTGGGGGGGTGGGTGGTGAGGGTGTTGGGTTTGGGTAAGGGTTAGGGTGGAGTTTTGATTTTTGTTGGTTGTGGTGAGATGTATGGTTGTGGGTGGTTTTTGGTGTGGTTGTTGAAGATTGGATTGGGGTTTTGAAATGGGTTGGTTATTTTGTATTAGGTGTTTGTGGGGGGAGGAGATTTTGGGAAGGGTTGAAGGAGAGGATAGGGTGGGGTGGGGGGGGGGGGTAAGTTGGGTGTTTGGTGTATATGGTTGGGGGGTGTGGGGGGGGGGGGTAGGGGTATTTTTAGTGGGTAGGGTAAGGGGTTTTTTGGTGTTGATAAATTAGTGGGTGTGGGAATTTGAAGATGGGGGGTTGGGGGGGTGGGTGTTGGGGGGGATTTGGGTGTTTTTTTTTGGGGTGGGGGTGGGGGTTTGGGTGAAGGTTGTTTGGTGATGGGTGGGGTAAATTGGATTGTGGGTGTAGGGGGGGGTTATTGAGGGGATTTGGGGATTTGGTTTAGTTGGGGGTTTGGGGTATTGGGGTTGGGGGGGGGGGGTGGGATGGGTTATGTGGTGGGGGGGGTAGGGGTTGGGTGGTGGGTGGGTGTGGGGGATTGTGTGTTTGTGGTGATTGTGGTGGGGGTTTGGGGGTGGGTGGGTGGGTGGATATTTTTATTATATTGATGATTATTAGGTGGGGGATTGTGTGTGGGGGGGGGGGGGGGTGTGTGTTGGGTGTGGGGAGTGGGTTGGGGGGTTATTGGTGGGGGTTTAGGGGGTTTGGGGGGGGGGTGGGTGTGGGGTGGTGTGGTTGGGTTGGGGGGGATGGTGGAATTGGGTTTGGTTTGGGGGGTGGGGTTGGTGTGGTGTGTGGGTTGGGATATGTGTTGGGGGGGGTGGGGTGTGTGTTGTTTGTGTGGTTGTGGTGGGGGGTAGTGGGGGGTGGGTGATAGGGGTGAGAAGGAGGTGGGGGGGTGAAGGGTGGGGTTGGGGTATTGATAAGTGGGGGGAAAAATAAAGTAATGTAGGGTGATGAGTGGGAGGTGGATATAGAATATGAGGGAAGATGTATGTATTGTGGTTGAAGAGGTGTGAATTTGTATTTTGGGGGATGGTGGTTGTAGTTTGTAAGTATGGTTAGAGGAGGGTTGATGGTGGTGTGGGAGGATGTGGGTTTGTGGTAGATGGGAAGGGAGTTGATTTGAAGATTTGGGATTGGGGGGGTTTGTTGGGGAGGTGTTTGTGGTTTGTTTGGTTTGGGGTGAGTATTTGTGGGGGGGGGGTTGTGGGGGTGTGGTTTATGGTGTTATGGAGTGGTTTAGGGTGGTGGGTGATTATTGGGTGATGGGGGGTAGTGGGTGGGGGTGTTTTTGGGGGGGGGGTGGGGGTGGGTGGGGGGGGGTTGGTTGTGTGGTGGGTTGGTTGTGGGGTGTGTGTTGGTGTTGTGTGTATTGTGTTTGGGTGGGAGGTTGGTGTGGTGGGGGGGTGTTGTTGGGTGTTTGGTTGGGGGGGGTGTATGGTGGTTTGTTGTGGTTGGGGTTTGTTGGTTTGTGGGGGGTTGGGGGTATGTGTGTGGGAGTAAGTGTGGTTGTGGGAGGGGGTAGTATAGTTGAGGGGTGTTGGGGGTTGGTGTGGGTTGTGGTGTGGGGGGTTTGGGGGGGTGGTGGGTGTGGGTTGGGGGGGGTGGGGGGGGGGGGGGGGGGGGGGGGGGGGGGGGGGGGGGGGGGGGGGGGGGTGGGGGGGGGGGGGGGTGGGGTGGGGGGGGGGGGGGGGTGGGTGGTTGAGGGTGGGGGTGGGGGGGGGGGGGGGGGGGGGGGGGGGGGGGGGGGGGGGGTTTGTGGGGGGGGATGTGGGGGGGTGTGGGGTGGGTGGAGTTGGGGGTGGTGGTTTTGAGGGTTGTTGGGGGTGTGTGGGGTTTGGGTGTTGGGTGGGGATTGGGGTGTGGTTGGTTGGGTTTGGTTGGGGTTGTATTGTGGTTTTTGGTGGTTGTTGGTGGGGTTGTTTGGGGTGTTGGGTTTGGGTGTGGGTGGGTTTTGGGGGTGGAGAGGGTGTGGTGTGGGGGTGTTGGGTGGTTGGTGGGGTGTGGGTTGTTTTGGGGGTATTAGGGATGAATAATGGTGAGGGTGGGTGGGGGTGGTGGTGGGGTTTTTTGGGTTGGTGGGGGTGGGGGGTGGGTGAGGGGGGTGGTGGTGTGTGGGGTTTTGTTGGTTTGGGTGGGGTGGGGGAGTGGGGTTGTAGGGTTTGGGTTGTATGTTGAGGGGTTGGGGGGGTGTGGTGGGGGTGTGGGTGGGGTATGTGGGGGTGTTGGTGGTGGTGTGGGTTTATGGGTTGTGTGGGGGTTTTATGATGTGTGGGGGGGGGGGATGTGTGTGGTGATGTTTGGTGGTGTGATAGGGTGGTGGGGGTGGGGTTGGTTGGAGGGGTTTTGTATGTGGAGGATTTGGTAGGGTATTTATTGGGTGGTGGGGGGGGGGGGGTATGGTGATGGGGTTTGGGGGGGGTGTGTTATGGTTATGGGTGTATGGTGGGTTGTGAGATGGTTTGGGGGGTTGAGGTGTTTTGGGGGGGGGGGTTATGGTTTTGGGGTTTGGATGTTGTGGATGTTTGGTTGTGTTTGGTAGTGGATGATAGTGGGTTGGTTTGTTGTTAGGTGTGGTTGGTGGGGTGATGTTAATTGGTATGAGGGGGTATAGGGTTTTTTTGATGGGGGTTTTGTTGTGGGGGTGAGGTTAGTATTTGTATGTAGGTGTAGTGGGGTGGGGGGGGGGTGTTGGGAGTTTGGTGGATATGGTAGGGGGTTAGGGGGGGTGGTGATGGGGGGGGTAGGGGGGGGATGGGTGGGTGTTAAGGGATGGGGTGGGGGGTTGGTGGGGAGTAGTGGTGTTTGGTGTGGATTTATGGTTAGGGGGGGGTGGATGGGTGGTGTGGGGGGGGGGGGGGGGGGTTTTGTTTGGTGGGTGGGTTGGGGAGGAGGTAGTTGGGGGTGGTGGGGGGTAGGTGTGGGGTGGGGGGGGTGGGGGTTGGGGTGGGGTGGGGGTGAGGGGTGGGGGGTGGGGGTTGGGGGTTTTGGGGTGTTGTGTGTTGGGGTGGGTGGGGGTTTGTGGGGGTGTTGGTTGTATATGGAGGTGGGGGGGGGGGGGTGGGGGGGTGTGGGGTGTGGGGGGGGGGATTTGGGGGGGGTGGTTGGGGGGTGAGGTGGGTTGTGATTTGGGGGTTGTTGAAGTTGTGGTTTGTGGGTGGGGGGGGGGGTGTGTGGGGGGGTGGGTGATGTGGTTGGTTGGGGTGGGGGTGTGGTTGGGGGTTTGGTTTGGGTGGTGGGTGGGTAGTTTTTTGGGGAGTGGTGAGTTTGGGGGGGTGGGTGTGGTGGGGGGGGGGGGTATGGGGTGGGTGGGGGGGGGGTGTTGATTTTGTTTTTGGGTGTTGTGATAGTTGGTTTTTGATGGGGTTTATGGGGTTTGTTGTGGTGTGTGTTTTGGGTTTGTGGTGTGTGGGGGGGGGTTTTTGGGGTGTGGGGGGTTTGGTGGGATTTGAGGTAGGGTTGTATGGATGTGTGGGGGGGTGGGTTTGGGGTGGGGGGTGGTGTGGGGGGTGGGGGGTATATGGTGTTTTTGGGAGGGTGGTGGGGTAAGAGGTTATTTGGTTGTGAAGGGGAATGAGGGGTGGGATGGGGGGGGATAGTTTGTGTTTTGGTATAGGGTGTTGTTTGATGTGGTGGGGGGGTGAGTTGAGTAGTGGGTGGGTTTGTTGTGTGTTGGGGGATGTGTTTAAATTTATAGGTTGAGGTGGGGGATTGTTTTGGGTATTTTGGGGGTGTTGGGGGGGGGGGGATTTTTTTGGTGGGAAGATGGTTGGGGGTTGGGTTGATTTAGATAATTGTATGTTGTTTGTGGGGGGGTATTTGTGATTTTGGATTTTGGAGTGGTTTGTTTTTGGTTTTATAGGGTTTTGGTTTGTGTGTTTGTTTTGTGGGGTGTTTATGTTTTTTGTTTGGTGGGGTTAGGGTAGGGGGTATGGGTGGTGGGTTTTGGTGTTGGGGGGGTGTGGGGGGGGGTTGGGGTGGGGGGGGTGTTATGGTGTTTGGGAGGGTGGTATGATGGGTGGGATTTTGGGGGGTGTTGGTTGGGGGGGGTTGAGTGATGGGTTTTGTATGTGGTTGTTGTTTGAGGGGGGTGGATGAATGTTGGGGATTGGTGGTGGGGGGGGGAGGGGGTATTTGAGTGGGTGTTGTTTGGGTGGTGGTGGTTTGGGTATGTTTTGTTGGTGTGGTTGGGTTTGGGGTGTGGTTGGGGGTGGGTGGGGGGTGTTGGAGATGTGGGTTGTGTGGTTTTGGTGGGTTGGTGGGTGTGTGTGGGGGTGTGGGGGTTGGGGGTTGTGGGGGGGTGTGGTGGTTGTGGGGGTTGGGTTTGTTTGTGGTTGGGTGGTGGGTTGTTTGGTTTTTGGTGGGGGGGGGTGGGTTGGGGGGTTGGGGTTTGGGGGGTTGTTGTGGGTGTGGGTATTGGTTTTGGGGTGGTGTGGTTGGGGGTGTTGGTGGGGGGGTGGTGGGGGGGGTGGGTGGGTGGGGTTTTGAGGTGTTGGGTGGGGTTGGGGGGGGGGGTGGTGGGGGGGGGGTGGGGGGGGTTGGGTTTGGGGGTGGGGGTTGAGAGTGTTGGTGGTTTTTATTTTTTTTATTTTTGGTGGTTGGTTTGGGTTTTGGGGGGGTGTTGGGGGGTTGGTTGTTGTTGTGGGGGGGGGGTTGTGGGGGTTTGGTTGTGTGGGGTGGTGAGTGTGTGGGTGGTGGTTGTTGGGTGTGTGTGTGTGGGGTTTGTTTGGTGTTATTGGATGTGGGGTTTTGTTGGTTTGTGGGTTTTGGGTGTGGGATGAGTGGTGGGGGTGGGGGATGTGGGAGGGTGGGAGGTGTGTAGGTGGTGTGATGTGGGTGTGGTGGTTAGAGGGTTGGGTTGGGGGGGGTGGGGGGGGGGGATGGGGGTGGGGGGGGGGGGGGTGTGGTTGGGTGTGGTGGGGGGGATGTGGTGTATAAGGTGGGGTTTGTGGTGGTTGGGGTGGGGTGGGGTGTTTGGTTTGATGTAGTAGGTTTGGGGGAATATAGTTGGTGTAGGTTGGTGGTGGGGGTTATAGGGTTGGTTTTGTGAGTTTGGTGGGTGTAGGGGGTGGAGGGTGTGGGGGTGGGTGGGGGGGGGGGGGTTGGGGTGTGTTGGTGGGGTGTGTGGGGGGGAGTGGGTTGTTGTGGGGGGGGTGGGTTGTTGTGTGGTAGGAGGGTTGGGTTTTGTAGATTGTGATTATGATTTTTTTTGATAGGGTGGATTGTTTGGGTTGATTTGATGGGGGGGGTTATAAGTGTGATTGTATTAGGAGTGAGGTAGGTTTTGGTTTGTAGTTTGGTTTTGGTAGTGGTAGGATTGGTTGTTTGTTGGTGGGGGGATTTATTGTATGTGATTGTGATAGGGGGTGGGGTTGTGAAGGGGGGGGGTGGGTTGGGGGTTGGTGTGATGGGTGTGGGGTTGTTGGTAGGGTTTGGGTAGTAAGGGGTATTGTGGGGGGGGGGTTGAGGGGGTATGTGGATGTGTGGGGATGTTTGTTGTTTTTTGGTTATGTGTATGTTTTTGGTGTGAAGGGGATGAGTGTGGTGTTTGGGGGGGGGGTATGGGGTGTGTGTGGTGGTGGGGGGTTTGTGGTTTGGGGGGTGGTTATAGGTATTGGGGTGTTTGGGGGGTGGGTGGGGGGGGGGGGGGGGGTGGGGGGGGTGGGGGGGGGTGGGTGGGTTTTAGGGGGGGGTGGGGGGGGGGTTGGGGTTGTTGGGTTTGTTGGAGGGTTTGTGTGGGTTGGGGGGGGTGGGGGGTTGGGGGGGGGGGTTTGGGGGATGGTGTTTGGTTTAGGGGAGGGGTGTGTGGGATGGGTTTGTTGTGTGGGGTTGGTGTTGTGTGGGGGGGGGGTGGGTGTGTGGTGTATTGTGTGGGTTGTTTGTGTGTGGGGGTGTATTGTTAGAGTTTGAGTTGGGTTGGGGGGTGGTGTGTTTGGGTGGGTGGATGGATGTGGGTTGGGGTGTGTTTGGGGGGGGTTAGGATTTTGGTGGGTTTTGGGGTGTTATTGGTATTTTTTTGGTGTTTGGGGGTTGGGGTGGGTAGGTGGGTGGTTTTTGGTTGGGGTGTGTGTATGGGGAGGGTTGGGGGTGTGTGAGGTGTGTGGTGGGGGGGGTGTTTGGGTTGTTGTGTTGTTGTTGTTGAGGGGGGGGGTTGGGGTTGGTGGGGTGGTGGGGGGTTGGGTGGGGGGTGGTGGTGTTTGGGGGGTGGGGGGGGGGGGGGGGGGGTGGGGGGGTGTTTGGTTGGTGTGTGTTTGTTGTTGGGGGGTGTTTTGTGGTGGGGGGGGTGGGGGGAGGGGGGGTGGGTGTTGGGGGGGGTGGGGGGGTGTGGGGGGGTGTGGGGTGTTGGTGTGGGTTGGGTTGGTGGGGGGTTGGGGGGGGTTGGTTGGGGGGGGTGGGGGGGGGTGGTGGGTGGTAGTGGTGGTGGGTGTGGTTGGGGTGGGGTGTTTGTGGGGGGGGGGGGGGGGGGGGGGGGGGGGGGTGTGGGTGGTGGGGAGGTGGGTTTGGTGTGGTGGGTGTTGTTTTGTTTGTGGGGTGTGTAGGGGTTTGTGGGTTTGTGTATTTTGGGGTGGGGGGTGGGGGGTTTGGTGGTTGGGGGGGGGGGTGGTGTGTGGGTGGTTGGGGGTTGTTGTTTGGTGGGGTTGGGGGAGTTTGTGGGGGGTTGTTGTGGTGTGTGTGTGTTGGTGTGGGGGGGGGGGGGGGGGTGGGTGGGGGTGGGTGTGTTGGTTGTGTTGGGTTGTTTGGTTGGGGTTTGGGTGTTTGTGTTGGTGGTTGAGGTGGTGTGGGGGGGGTTGGGGTGTGAGGGTGGGTGTGGGAGTGAGGGGGGGTGGAGAGTGAGGCGGTTTAAGGAGGATATGGGGGGGTGGAATTGAGTTGAGTAGGGGGTTTGTGTGAGTTGTAGGGGAGGGGGTTAGGGGAGGTATTGGTTGTGGGGTATGGGGGGGGGGAGTTGAGGGTGGTTGGTTTGGTGGTGTGGGGGGTGTGGGTGAAAGGGGGGGTGGGGTAGGGGGGGGGTAGGGGGTTGTGGGGTGGGGTGTGTTGGGAGAGGTGTGGTGGGGGTGGGTAGGTGTATTTGGGGTTGGTGGGTGGGATGTGGTGTGGGGGGGATGGATGGGTGGGAAGGGGGTGTGTGGTGTTGTGGTGGGTTGGGGTGGGTGGGTGGGGGGTGGGGGGTGGGTGTGGTTGGGTAGGGGGGGTGTGGGGGGGGGGGGGGGGTGGGGGGGGGGGGGGGGTGGGGGGGTGGGTGGTTTTGGTGGGGGGGGGGGGGGGTGGGGTGGGTGTGGGTGGGGGGGTGGGGGTGGGGGGGGGTGGTGTGTGGGGGGTGGGGGGGTGTGGGGGGTGTGGGGTGGTGGGGGTGGGGGGGGGGTGGGGGGGTGGGGTGGGGGGTGGGGGGGGGGGTGGGGTGGTGTGTGGTGGGTGGGGGGGGGGGGGTGGGTTGGGGGTGGGGGGGGGGGGGGGGGGGGGGGGGGGGGGGGGGGGGGGGGGGGGGGGGTGGGGGGGGGGGGGTGGTTGTTGGGGGGGGGATTGGGGGTGTGGTGTGGTGGTGGTGTGTTGTGTGTGGGTGTGTTGGTGGGGGTGTGGGTGTGATTGGGGGTGGTTTTGGGGTTGTTAGTGGGGGTTTTTTGGGAGAGTTGGGGGGTGGGGTTTTGGTGTTTTGAGTGGTGGGTGTGGTAGGGTTTGTTGTGGGTGTTGGTGTTTGTTGGGGTGTGGGGGGTTGTGGGGTGTTTGTTTGGGGGGGGGTTTGGTGGTGTATGGGGTTGGTGGGGGGGGGGGGGGGTTGGGTATGGATTGGGGGGTGGGTGGGGGTTGGTGGTTTTTTGTGGTTGTGGGTGAGGTGGGGGGGGTTGGTGTGGGGTGGGTGGGGGGGTGGGGGGGGGGGGGGGGGGGGTGGGGGGGGGGGGGGGGGGGGGGGGGGTGTGTGGGGGGGGGGTGGGGGGGGTGTGGGTGGGGGGGGTGGGGTTGGTTGGGGGGGTGTGGGTGGGTGGGGTGTTGTGTTGGGGTTTGGGGTGGATGTGGTGGGTGGTGTGGGTGGGGGAGTGGGGGGGGGGTTTGGGTGGTGGTTAGGGGGGTGGGTTGGGGGTTGGTGGTGGTGGGGGGGGGGGGTGGTGGGTTGTGGGGGTGGGGGGTTGGGTGGGGGGGGGTTGGGGTGGGTTGGTGGGTGTTGGGGGGGGTGGGTGGGGTGGGGGGGAGGTGGGTGTGGGGGTTTGGGTTGGTGGGGGGTTGTGGGGGGGGGTTGTGGGGTGTTGGGTGTTTGGATGGGGGGTGGGTTGGGGTGTTGTGGTGAGGTTGTGGATTTGTGTGGGGTGTGTGGTTGGTGTGGTGTGGTGGGGTGGTGTTGGGGGGGGGGGGGGGGGGGGGGTTGGGGGGGTGGTTGTTGTGGGTGGGGGGGGAGGGGGTTTTTGGGTGGGGGGGTTGGGGGGGGGGGTTGGGGGGGTGGGGGTTGTGGGGGGGGGGGGGGGTGTGGTGGGGGGGGGTTTGGTTGTGGGGTGTGTTGGTTGGTGTTTTTTTGTAGTTGGGGGGGGGGATGTGTGTGGTTGGTGGGGGTTTGGGGTAGTGGGGTGGTGGTGTTGTGAGGTGGGGGGGGGGTTTGTTTGTTGGGGGGTTTGGGGTTTGGGTGGTTGTGGGTTTGGGGGAGTTGGTGGGGGGGGGGGGGGGGGGGGGGGGGGGGGGGTGGGTGGGGTGGGGTGGTTGGGTGGGGGGGGTTGGGTGGGGTGTTTTGGGGGATGGGTGGGTGTTGGTGGTTTTTGTGTGTGGTGTGTTTGTTTGTTTGTGGGTGTTGTGGGGTGGTTGTTTGGTGTGGTTGGGGGGTTGTTTGGGGGGTGGGGTTGGTTTGGGGTGGGGTGGTGGGGTGGTGGGTGGGGGGGGGGGGGGGGGGGTGTTGGGTTTGTGGGTGGTGTGTGTGTGTTTGTTTGGGGTGGGGGTGGGTTGGGGGGGTGTGGTGGTGGGTGGGGGGTGGGGGGGGGGGGGGGGGGGGGGTGTGGGGTGGGTGTGTTGGGGGTGGGGTGGGGGGTGGGGTGGGGGGGGGGGTGGGGTGTTGGGGGGGGTGGGGGGGTGTTGGGGTGGGGTGTGTGTGTGGGGGTGTGGGGGGGGGGGGGTTGGTTGGGGTTTGGTTGTGTGTTTTGTTTGTGGTGGGTTGGTGGGGTGGTTGGTGTGTTGGGGTATGGTGTGGTTTATTGGGTGGTATGTTTTTGGATGTGGTTTGTGGGTTGGGTTTTTGGTGGGGGGGTTGGGGGGGTTGTGTGGTGTATTTTTGGTTGGGGTTTTTGTGTGTGTGGGTGGGGGGGGGGTGGGGGTGTTGGGTGGTTTGTTGTTTTTGTGGGTTGTTGGTTGTTTTTTGTTGGGGGGGGGTGGGGGGGGGTGGGGGTTGGTTTTTTGTGGTGGTTTGTTTTGTGGGTTTGGGGAGTTGGGTTAGGGGGGGGGGATTGGGTTTTAGGGTTGGGGGTGGGGGGGTGGGGGTTGGTGTGGTTTGTGTATAGGGGTGTGATGTGTGTGTTGTTGTGTGTTGGGTGGTTGGTGGGGGGGGGGGTGTGGGGGGGGGGGGTGGGTGGGGGAGTTGGGGGGGGGGGGGGTGGTGGGATTGTTTGTTTGGGGGGTAGGGGGGTGGGGAGGGTTGGGGGGGGGGGGTTGTGGTGGGGGAGGGTTGGGGGGGTGGGGTGGGGGGGTTGGGGTGTTGGTGGGGTTTTGGTGGGGGGAGGGGGGTGGGTGTGGGTTTGGTGGGGGGGGGTGGGGTGGGGGAGTGTTTGGGGGGGGTGGGGGGGGTGGGTGGTGGTGGGGGGGGGTGGGGGTGGGTGGGGGGGTGGGGTTGTTGTGGTGGGGGAGTGGGGGGGGGTGGGGTGGGTGTGGGGGGTGTGGGGGGTTTGTGGTGTTTGGGGGGTGGGTGTTGGGGGGGTGGGGGGGTTTGGGGGGGGGGGGGTGGTTTGGTGGGTGGTGGGTGTGGGGTGTGGGGGTTTGTGTGGGGGTAGTGGGGTTGTGGGTGTGGGGGGGGGGTTGGGTGGGGGGGGTGGGTTTGGGGGGGGGGGGGGGGGGTTGGGGGGGGGGGGGGTGGGGGTGGTTTGGGGTGGGGGGGTGGGGTGGGGGGGTTGGGTGTGGGGGGGGTGTTGTGTTGGGGGGGGTGGGGGGGGGGGTTGTTGTGTTGGGGGTTTTGATGTGGGGGGTTGGGGGGGTGTGTGTGGGTGGTGTGGGTGGTGGGGGTTTATTTTTGGGGGTGGGTGGGGGGGTTGAGTGGGTGTAGGGGGGGTAGGGGGGGGTTGTGGGTGGTTGGGGGGATGGTTGGGGGGTGTGTGGGGGGGGGTGGGGTTTGGGGGGTTTTGGGTTGTTGTGGGGTGGGGGGGGGGGGGGGGGGGGGTGGTGGGTGTGTTGGGGGGGGTGGGTGGGGTTTGGGGTGGGGTGGGGGGGTGGGGGGGTGGGTTGTGGTTGGTGGTTGGTGTGTGGTTTTGGGTTGGGGGGTGGTTGTTTTTTGTGTTGGGTTGAGTGTGTGTGGGTGTGGTGGGGGGGGGGGGGGGGGGGGGTGTGTTTGTTGTGGTGTGGGGTGGTTTGGGGTTTGGTGGGTTTGGTGGGGTGTTTGTTGGTGTGGGTGGTGGTGTGGGTGGGTGGGTGGGGGGTTTGTTTTTGGTGGGTGGGTGGGGTTGGTTGGTGGGTTTTTTTGTAGTTTGGTGTAGTTGGGTTGTGGGGGGTGTTGTGGGGGGGGGGGGGGGAAGTGGTGGGTTGGTGTTGGTTTAGGGTATTTAGGGGTTTGGGTTATGAGGGGTGTGTGTGGGGGGGGGGGAGGGGGGGGGTTGAGAGTTAGGTAATTTTTGGGGGGGTATGGTTGTGTGGGTGGGGGGGGGTATTTGTTAGTGGTTATGTTTTTGGTTTTTGTTGAATGGGGGGGGGTTGGTGGTGGGTGAGGAGTTGTGGTTGTGTGTTTGGGGTGTGGATGTGATTTTGTGGGGTTTTAGGAATGGGGTGGGTGTGGGGGTTGGAATTGGGTGATTGGTAGGTGTTATAGTATGAGGTATGTGTGATGTGTTGTTGGGTGTGGGGGTGGGGGGGGTTTGGTTTTGGTTTGGTGTTTAGGTGGTTTATGTGTGTGGTGAGGGGGTGGGGTTGTTGGTGGTGAGGGGGGGTTTGAGGGGTGATGTTTGGGAGGGATGGTGGGGTGGGTAGTTTGGGGGTGTTTGGTGTGTTGTGTTTTTAGGGGGTTTGGGAGGGGGTTTTGTTTTGGTTAATATTATGAGTATGGGTGGGATGTTGGTGGTGTATGGTTTTGGGTTTGGGGGTATTTTGTTTGGGGTATGTATAGGGAGGTTGTTGTGTGTTGGGGTTGATGTGTGGGGTGGTATGGGTTGGAGTGTGGGGTGTTGTGGGTTGGTTTGTTTTTGGGGGTGGGGTTATATGGGGGATGGGGTGGGTATGTGGTGGGGTGGTTTGGGGGGGTGTGTTGTGTGTGGGGTTATTGTGGGGGGGTTGGGGTTTGGTGTGGGATTGTTTGTGTGGGGTGGGGGGTTTGGTTATTTTGTTGGATTATTTTGGAGGGTGATTTGGGTTTGTGGTTGTGATGGTATTTTTGGGGGGGTTTTAGTGGGTGTGTAGTGGGGTGGTAGTGATTTTTAGTGGGGGTGGGGGTTGTTTGGGGGTGGGTTGTGTGGTGTTGTGGTGGTGGAGGAGGGTTTATGTGGTGGTGTGTGGTTGTGATTGATTAATATGTAGGTTTGATGTGTTTATGTATTTTGGGGGTTGGGGTTTTTTTTTGATTGTTTTTTGATGGTGGGGGTGGTAGGGGGGGGTGGGGGGTTGGGGGGATTATTGTTGGGGTGGGTTGGGTGGGTTGGGTGGGGGTGGGTTTGGGGGGGGTGTGGGTGTTTGTGGGGGGTGGGGGTGTGGTGGTGGGGGGGGGGTTGGTGGGGGGTGGTGTTGTGGGGGGGGTGTGGGTTTGGGGTGTGGTGGTGTGGGGGTGGTGGGGGTGGGGGGGGGGGTTTGGTAGGTGGGGTGGTGTGGTGTGTGGGTGTTGGGTGGGGTGGGGGTTTATGGGTTGAGGGGGGTGTGGGGGTGGGAGTGGTTGTGGGGGGGTTTGGTGGGTTGTTGTATAGGGTGGAGGGGTGGGGTTGGGGGGTTTGTGGGTGGTGGGGGTGTTGTTGGTGGGTTAGGTGTTGTTGGGTGGGGTGGTGGTTGGTGGTGTGGGGGGGGGGGGGGGTGGGTTGGTGGGGGGGGGGGGTTGGTGTGGGGGTTGTGGTGTTTTTTTGTTTGATGGGGGGTGGTGGGGTTGGGTTGGTTGTTTTGGGGTATTTTTTGGGGGTTTGGTTTATTGGGTGTGGTGAGTTTGGAGTTAGGGGGGGTGGGTTGGGTAGGTTTTGGTGTGTAGTTGTTGGATTGGGGTGTTGGGGTTGGGTTTGTTTTTGTTTGGGTGGGGGGGGGTGTTTGGGGGGGGATGGTTTTGTATTGTATTTGTGGATTTTGGGGGTAGGGTGAGGTTGGAGGGGTGGGGTGTGGGGGGGGGATTGGTTGTTGGGGTGTGGGGGGGGGTTTGGGGGTGGGGGGGGTGTTGTGGGTTGGTGGTGGTGGGGGGGGGTGGTGTGGGTGGGGGTGTTGGTGGTGGGTGGTGGGGGGTGTGGGGTGGTTGGGGGTGTGGTTGGGTGGGGTGGGTGTGGTGTTGGTTGGTGGGGGGGGGTGGTGTTGGGGTGTGTTGGGTGGTGGTGGTTGTTGGGTGGGTGGTGGGTGGTGTGGGTGGTGGTGGGGTTTGGGGGGGGGGGGTGGGGGGTGGGGGTTTGGGTGGTTGGGGGTGGTTGTGTTTGGGGGGTGGTTTTGGTTGTGGGGATTGGGTGGGGGGTGGTGGGGGGTATTGTGTTGGGGGGGGGGGGGGGGTGTGTTTTTTGGGTTATTGGGGTGGGTGGGGGGATGGGTGTGGGGGGGGTGGGGTGGGTAAGGAGGTTTGGGTGGGTGGTGTTGGTTGTTGGAGGGTTGTGGGGGTTGGAGTTGGTGGGTTGGGGGTGTGGGGGTTTGGGTGGTGGGGGGTGGTGTGGGTTGGGGGGGGGGGGGAGGTGTGTGGGGGGTGTGGGGGTGGGTGGGTGGTTGGGTGGTGTGTTATGTGGGTGGGTGTGTTAGGGGTTGGGGGGAATGGTGGGGGTTTTGTGGGTGGGTTTTGGATGGTTTTTTGTTGTGTTTGGTTAGGGATTTAATTTTAAAAATAGATAATTGATAGATGATGTAGGAGATTTTGGGGGGTGTTGTTTATTGTTTGTTATTTTATTGTTTTATTTGTTGTTGTTTGTTGGTTTGTTGTGTTTGTTTTGTTGTGTTAGTGGTTGTGGTGTGAGTTGTTGTTGTGGGGGGAGAGTGGTGGGGGGGGGGTTGTGGGTTGGGAGGGTAGAGTGGGTGGTGGGGGGTGTAAATGGTATAGGTTATGGAGTATTATTGGTTGGTTTGGTTAATTATGATGGATGGGGGAGGAGGAAGTGGGTAATTAGGTGTGGGGGGGTGGGGGGGGGTTAGGGGTGGAGGAGAAGGTGATGGGGGGGGGGTGGGATTGGGGGGGGGTTGAAGAGTTGGTAGGAGGGGGGTGGGAGTTTTATTGTTGTTGGGGGGGGGGGGGGGAGGGGTATGGGGGGGGGGGGGGGTGGGGAGGTAGGGGGGGGGAGGGGGGGTGGTGGGTGGGGGGGGGGGGTGGGTTGTTTGTTGTGGTGTTGTTGGGGAAAGGGTGGAGGAAATATTGGGGTTTTGGGATGGGGGTTGGATATATATGTATATATGTATGTGTATATGTATATATATGTATATATATATGTATATGTATATGTATAAGTATATATGTAGATGTTATGTGTGGTATGTGGTAATGTATATGTATATGTAATGTTTATATTATATTGTATGTGTGTATGTGTATATTATATGTATAGTGTAAATGATGTAAGTGTAATATGTATATTTATATGTATATATGTATATGTATTTGGTATGTGTATATTAATGTATATATGTAGTGTGTATGTGTATATGTATATGTATATTATATGTATATATGTATATGTATGTTTATGTTTATATGTATATGTATGATGTATATGTAGGGTGTGTATGTGTTATGTATATGTAAATGTAGATGTATATGTATAATGGATAGGTGTATGTTGATGGTATGTGTATGTGTATGTGTATGATTGATTGATTGATGGATAAGGGTGGTGTGTGATAGGGAAGTAGATTGTTTTAATTTGGAGAAGATATTAAATGTTTTTATATTTGAGAGTTATGGTGTTGGTTGTTTATGTTTTTGTATGTGGTGGTATATTGTGTGTGTTTTGATATATGGTGGGGTTTTTAAGGTGTTTTTGGTTTTGATATATGGGGTGGTATTGATGTTTTGTTGATGTTTGTTGAGGGAGGATGGTTTTGGTGTTGTGTTTTTTGTTGGGTTTTGATGGATGGGTGGGAGATAGTTTTTGTTAGGGGGGATGGAGGGGGGTTTTGTTAGGAGTGTGGTTAAAGGGAAGATAGAGATTGGTTAGGGAATGTAGAGTAGATGGGTGAGTTTATATGATGAAAATGGATGGAAGGTAGAGGGTTAGTTATTTGAATGAAAGGGAGATAGATGTAAAGGTGGGGGGGATGTGGTTTTATTTGGAAGGGGTGGGTTGTATGGATGTATGGGGTTGTAGGTATTGGGTTTTGGATGTTGGTTGTGTGGGAGTAGTTTTTATGTGTATTGGTTGGATGTGGGTATGTTTTGGGGGAGTTAGTTGGGGATAGTGTATGGGGGTAGATTGTGGAGGGGGGGGGGGGGGAGGTAGGGGGTATATGTGTTGATGTGGGTATATTGGAGGTTGTTGGTTTTGGTGTAGGGGTGTTTGGGGGGTGGGGGGGGGGGGGGATATGTAGTTGTTGATTTTTTTGTTGGGGGTGGGGGGTGAGTGTGGGGAGTAGGGGGTGGGGTGTTTTGTTGTGTGTTTTTGGGTTGTATGATGTGTTGGGAGGGGGGGGGGGTTGTTGTGGGATATGGGGGGGGGTTGGGGTATGGTTGGGGTATGTTGTTATGTGGATGTGTGATGGTGGGGATTTTGGGGTGGGGGTATTGTTGGTTGGGTGTGGGGGGTGGGGTTAGTGGGGGGGGTTTTGTGGTTGGGGTGTGTGTAATAGGTGGTGTTTTTGTAATTGTGATTGATATGATTATATTATTTTTAGAAATATATATATATAGGAATGGTTAAAGTATGGGATGTGGGTGGGAGGGTTGATTTAAGGGGTTGATGATTTTAGAGTTATAGATATATATAGATTTATATTTATATATATGATTATGATTAGATATAGAGTGGGTGGAAGGGTTTTAAATTTTGTTGAGGGAATAGGGGGTAGATTTGGGGTATGATGTTGTAAAGAAATTATTTTTGATGTATGGTGGGAGGTTGGGGGGAAGAGTGAGGGGAGAATTTAGGAGGTTGGGGTTGATGTTTGGGGGTGTTGTGGATTAGTTTGGGGTTTGGGGGTGAAGGATGGAGTGTAGATTGGTGGGAGAGGGTTTAGGGGGGGGGGGGTGGGGGGGTTTGGGTTTGTGTGTGAATGGAGTGGATTTGGGGGGGGGGGGGGTTTGGTAGGAGGGTGAGTGGGGGTTTGGGTGGGTTTGGGTGTTGGATTGTGGGGGGGTAGTTGGGTTTGATAGGGAGGGGTGTGGGGATGGGGATTGGTTGTGTGGGGGTGTTAGGGTTTTTGGTGTAGATTGGTGGTTGGGGGGGGGGTGTGTGGGGGGTTGTGTTGGGTGGGGGGGGGGTTTGGGGTTTTGGTGGTTTGGTGGGTGGTGGGGTTGGTGTTGGGGTAGTGGGGGGGTGGTGGTGGTTTAGGGTGGTTTTGGGTGTTTTTGTTTTGTTTGGGGGGGGTGTAGGAGGTGGTTTTATGAGTGGGGGATTTAGGGAGAGTGTTTTTTATTTATGGGGGGGGGTTGTGGGGTGATGGTGGAGTGTTTTTTGGAGTGATAGTATGGAGTGTGGGTTTAGGATGGGTTGTGTTTGGGGGTTGGGGGGGTTGTGGGGATGTTGGTTTGGGGGGTTGTGTGGGGTTTGTTGTGGTTGGGGTGTGTGGTTTGTTTTTTTTTGTTGGTGGTTTGTATTTGTAATGTTGTTATGGGGTTTTGGATGGATGTGGTGTTGTAGGGTATTGGTGTGGGGGTATGTTATAATATGGAGATAATGATGGGGGGTGTAGGAAGGGGAGGTTATTTGATGGGTGGTGGGGTAGTATGGTTGTGTGAGGGTTGGAGTTGTTGTGTGGGGTGTGAAGAATTTTTGGGGGGGTGGGGGGGGTATGTGATGGGGGGGGGTGGGGGGGAAGGGGGGGTGGGGGGGGTGATGTGGATGTTTGGGGGTTTTATTATGGGTTGATGTGGGTGGTGGGGGTAGGTAGAGGGTGGTGGTGTGGTGATGTTGGTGTGTGTGTGGTTTGGATGTGAGAGTTTGGGTGTTGGGGATTAGTTGTGGTGGATTGGTTTGAGGTGGGGTGTTGGTGGGGGCAATTGTGGTGAGGGGTGGTGGGAATGGGTGTTTTGTAATTGGGGGGTGAGTGGTGGTAGGTGATGGGGATAGTTGGGATGTGTGGTGGGGTTGGTGAGTGTTTTGGGTGGAGGGTTTTGGGAGGAGTGTGGGAGAGTATAAGAGGGTGGTGGTGTGATTTGGTAATGTTTTAGGGAATTGTTTGTTTTATATGTGAGTTGATATTATTGGAGTATTTGTTTAGGAGGGGAGTGAGTAAATAGTTGATGGGGTGAGGAGTGGTATGGGTTTGGTGGTTGTTATGGTTGGGTGTGATGTGTTAAGTTGGTAGGGGGATGGGTATATGGGTTAGGAAGGGTGGGTTTTAGGGGTGTTGGAATGGGTGTGGGTGAGGAGATGAGGATTTAGTGGGTGGAGGGAAAGATTATAGGGAAGTGGTATAAGTTAGAGAAGGAGGGTAGGGTGGGGGAGTTTAAGGTGAGAAGGTATAGGTATTTAATGGTGGGGGGGATTTTTTATGGGTTTGGGGGAGGGGGGTTTGGGAGAAGGTTTTGGATTAGTTGGGGTTTTGATGAGGGGTTGGAAAGTAAGTTATATGAGGGAGGGTAATTGGGTAGATTAGGGAAGAGGGTTTTAATTTTATGAGGTGGTAGGTATGGGATATTGAAAGAGGGAGTAGAAAAGGAAAAGGAGAATTGGGGGGGTTTAGGGGTAATTGGTTATGGGAAAATAGTATGAAAATAATGGTATGATGGTGATATGGGAGATAAGGAGATTAGGGGTAAGGGTAGGGAATGAGAATGGTAGGATGGTAAGGAAGTGTAGGGATGGGTTTAAGGATGTGTAGGTGAGGGGAATGATGGTAAAAAGAGTGAAAGAAGGAGAAATTTATGGGTTTATTAGGAGAGGGAGGATTTGATATAGGAAGAAGTTGGGATTATGTGTAAATTGGGGAGGAGTGTGGGTGGTGTTTATGTGAAGAGATTGAGGGATTAAGAGTGATAGTAAATTGTATTTGTGGATTGTTATGATGGATGGGGATGTGTGTGGGTGGAAGAGGATATGTAGGAGGGAGGGATAGTTATGTTTATGGAAATTAATTGATTTGGTAGGGATGTGTAATAGTTAGTGGAGGGATAGGATTGGGTTGGGTGGTGGTTGTGGTAGGAGGTTTGGGGGGGGGGGTGATATGTTAGGTGGTAGTTGATTGTTGTGTTATTATTGATTGGTATGGTGTGGGGATGGTATGTAGGGTTTTGTTATGATTGTATTGGAGATGGGGTTTGGTGAATTATTAAAGTTGGTTTGTGTATATTGTTTGAGTAGAGTTTGGTTGGGTGGTGGGTTGGGGGGATGTGGGGGGGAGGGGGGATTGGGGGGGATTTTGGGTTGGGAGTTAGGGGTGGAGTTTGGTAATAGTAGGGGGGGGAGGGGGGGTGGGGTAATGGATTTAGTAATTGATAGAGAGGGGGGGGGGAAATGGAGTAGTGATTGAAGGGGAAGAGTAGGGGATGACGTATGATGGGGATTGTGAGATGGGGGATGTGGGATGGGAGGGGGGGTTTAATTGGGGTTGTATGGAATTAATGTTGTTAGAAGGAGATTTGGGGGGAGGGGTATATAGGGGTTAGAGATGAGTATGTGTAAATTGTAAATTGATGTGATAGGTATGTGTTGTTAGATTGTGGGTGGGGGTGGAATGGTATGGTTGAGTGTAGTTTTGGGGGTAGGGGGGGTTTGGGGGGTATGGTTTTGGGGGGGGTGATGGGGGTGGGGTTGGTGGGTTGTGGGGGTTGTGGGGTTTAGGGGTGGTTAAGGGGGTTGCGGGGGTGGGGGGGGGTGGGGGTGGTGTTATAGGGGGATGTGGATGTGTGGGTGGGAAGGGGTGGGGGGGGGTGGGTTATGGGGTGTTGGGTTTTGTGTTTTGTTGGATTGGGGTGGGGGGGGTTGTGTGGGGGTGGGGGTGATTGTTGGGGGGTGGGTGGTGGGTAGTGGTAGGGGGGGGGGGGGGGGGGGGTGTGTGTGGGGGTTGGGGGGGGGGGGGTTGGTGTTGGGAGGGTGTGGTGGGGTTGGGGGGGGGGATTGGTGTGGGGGGTGGAGGTGGTGTGGGTGTTGTGGGGTGTGGTTGGAGTGTGTGGGGGGGGTTGTGGGTTGGGGGGGTTTTTGGGTGTGGTGGGGGTGGGGGGTTATTGGTGGTGGGGTGGAGATGGGGTGGGGGGGGTGGTGGGTTGGGGGGGGGGGTGGGGGGGGGGGGGGGGGGGGGGGTGGTTTGTTTATAGTTATGGGTTGGGTTTTGTGGGGGGTTGTATGGTGGTTTTGGGGGTGGGTGGGAGGGGTGTTGGGTGTGGGGGGTGGGGTTTGTGGTGTGTGGTGGGTGTTGGTGTTGGTGGTGTGGTAGTTTTGGGGGTGGGTGGGGGGTTATTTATATTGTTTTGGGGGGGGTTGTGGGTGGTTTGTTGGTGGTGGGTTTGTTGTGGGGTGTTGGTGGGGTGTTATTGGGGGGTTGTTGTATGTTGTTGGTGTGAGGGATTGTGGGTGAGAGGTGGGGGGATGGATTATGGGGTGTGGGGGTTATAGGGTGGGGGGGTTTAGGAGTTTTGGTAGGATGGGGGAGGTGTATTTGGTTGATTGAGTGGGGGGGGGGAATGGGATTTGAGAGTGTGGGTTTGGTGGGGTGGGGGGGATGGGTGGGGTATGTATGGGGGTATGGTTAAGTAGATTTTGGTTGGTGGGGATGTGTGGGGGTTGTGGGGAGTTGGGTTAAGGGAAATGGGGGGGGATTAGGGGGGGGGTGGATTGGGGGGTTATTGTTGGTTTTGTTTGGGGGTGGTTGGGGGTGGGGTAATATTGGGATGGTGGGATGGTGGGGAGGGTTGGTTGAGGTGATATGGGGGGTGGGTGTGTGGGGGTGATAGGGGGTTGTGTTTTGGTTGTGGGGGGGGTTGAGAGTGGGTTGGGGGGGGGTGGGGGGTGGTGGTGGTTGGGAGTGGGTTATGTTGGGTTTGGTTGTTTTTTTGAGGGGGGGTGTGGGGGGGGGGGTTTGGGGGTGGTGGGGGGGTGGAGGGGGTGATTTTGTTGTTTGTGGGGGGGGGTTGGGGGTTGTGGGGGGTGGGGGGGGGGTTGGTTGTTTGGGGGGGGGTGTTGGGGGGGATGGGTGGGGTTTGTTTTTTTTTGGTTGGGGTGTGGGTTGGGGGTTTGGTAAGTGTGTTTTGATTTGGTGAGGGGGTGGTGGTTGTAGTGGGGGTTGGTGGGGATGGGGGTGATTTTGGTGGGGGGGGTGGGGGGTATGGGGGGTAGGGGGGTGTGGGTGTTTGGGGTTGGAGGTGATTTGGGTGGGGGGGTGGTTTTGGGTTTTGGGGGGTGTGGGGGGTGGGTGGGGGTTTGTTGAGGTGTTTGGGGGTTGTGTTGTGGGTTGTTATTAGTGGTGGGATTGTTAGTGGTGGGGTTGGGTGGGGGTGGGTTGGGTGGGGTGTGGTTTTTTGGGGGGGTGGGTTGGTGGTGTATGGGGGAGTGTGATGGGGGTGTATGGGGTGTTTGGTTGGGTTTGGTGGGGGGGGGGTGGGGGGTGGGTTGGGGGGTGTGTGGGTTAGGGGGTGGGTAGGGATGTTGGGGTGGGTGTGGTGATTTGGGTATGTGGGGGGGTGGGTGGGTGGGGTTGGTATGATGTGTGGGTGTGGGTGGTGTATGGTGTGTGTGTGGTGGGGTATTTTGGTTTGGGGTTGGTGTGGGTTGTTGGTGGGGGGTGGGGTGGGTGGGGGTGTGGTTTTAGGTGTTGGGTGTTTGTTTGTGATTGGTTGTGTGTTTGGGGGTTGTTGTGGGGTGGGGGTGGGGGGGGTTTGTTGATATTTGTGGTATGTTGGGGGTGTGTGTGTGGGTTTGGTGGGGGGTGGGGTGGGGGGGGGGGGGTGTGGGGGGTTGGTTGGGGTTGTGGTGGTGGGTGTTATGTGGGGGGGGGTTTGGGGATGGGTTGGGTGTGGGGGTGTTTGGTTGTTGGTTTTTGTGGTTGGTGTAGTTGGGGGTGTGGTTGTGGGGGTATTTGGGGGGTGGGGTGTGTGGTGGGGGTTTGGTGTTTGGGGGTGGGTGGAGGTGGGGGGGGGGGGGGGGGGAGTGTGTTTTGTGGGGGGGTGTGTGAGTGGGTGTGTGGTGGTGGATGTGTGGTGTTGGTGGGGTTGTGATGGGGGTGTTTGGGGGGGGTGTGGGGGGTGAGTTGGTATGGGGTGGGGGTTTATTGTGAGTTGTGGATGTTTGTTTGTGTGGTGTGAGTTTTGGTGGTTATTGGTGGGGTTTGAGAGTTGGAGGGGTTTTTGTGGTGGGTAGGGGTGATTAGAGGTTTATGTTTGTGTGGGGTGTGTTGGGTTATTGTTGTTGGGTGGTAATTGTGTTTGGATGTGTTGGTAGGGTTGGGGGGGGTTTGGTGGTGTTTGGTGTTAGGGTATTTAAGGGTAATTTTGGTTGTAATGTATTGGTTGGATAATTGATGTTGAAGGGGGGGGGTGTGTTTATATTAGTTTTTGTTGTGTGGAGGTGGGTGGGGGGGTTGGGGTGTGGGGGGTTTGGGATTGTGGTGGGGGTTTGGGTATGGGGGGGGTTTGTGTTTTTGTGTGTGAGTTGGTATGGTAAATTGTTGTTTGGTGGGGTGGTGGTGGGTTGGTAGGGGGGTGGGTGTTGTGGTGTTTGGGATGGGGGGGGTGGGGTTGTTTTTGGGGGGGGAGATGGGTGGTTGGGTTGGGTGGTTTGGGGGGGGGGTATGGGGTTGGGGGGGTGGGTGGTTTGGGGGATGTTTGTGGTTTGGTGAGGGGTTTGGTTTGGTTGGTTTGGGGGTGGTAGGTTGTTTTGATTGATTTTGTGGTGGTGGGTGTTTAGTGGTTTGTGGGGGGTGAATGGTTTGGGGGGGGGGGTATGTTGTTTGTTTGATGTTTTGGGGTGTGATGGGGTGTGATGATTGTTTTGGGATGTGGGGGGGGGATGGGTGGGGTGGGGTTGTTAAAGGGGTATGTTGGTTGAGGTTATGGGGGTGGTGTGTGTTTGTTTTAGGTGTGTTGGGGGGGGGGGGGGTGTGGTTGGGGAGTTAGGGTGGGTGGGTGGTGGGGTGGGGGTTTGTGTGTTGGTGTTGGGTGTGGTTGGTGGGGGAGTGGGGGGGGGGGGGGGTGGGTGTGTGTGGTGTGTGTTGTGTGTTTGGGGGTGGGTGTTGGTGGGGGGGTGGGGGTGGGTGGTTGGGGGTAGGGGGTGTTGTATTGTATATTTTTATTGGGGGGGTGGGGAGTTTAGGAGGGGTGGGGGGAGTGGGTGTGGTGTGTGGGTGGGGGTTTGGGGGGGGGGGGGTGGGAGGGGGGGTTTGGGGGTTGTGGGGTTGTTTGGGTTTGTGGTTGGGGGGGGGGGGGGGTTGGGGTGGGGTGTTGTTGTTGTTGGGGGGGTGTTGGGGGTTGGGTATGTGGGGTGGGTGGGTTTAGTTAGTGTGTTGGTGATTATGGGGGGTGTAGTGGGGAGTAGATGGGGGGATTAGGGGGGAGGTTGTGGTTATTTGGGTTTGTTATTAATGGTGGGTGGTGGAGTGGGAGTTAGAGGTTTGATAGAAGTTAGGTTATATTGTTGATTGGATGGTTGGGGTGGTGGGTGTGGGGGGATGTGTGTGGGGGATATTTTTAATAATGTTGAGTAATTTATTTTTTTGTATGGGGGGTTTGGTGGGGATGGATGGTGGTGGAATATATTGAGTATGGTTAATTATTAGATTAGGTATGAGATGGGGGATTGTGGGGTTTGGGTGTGTGGGGGGTATGTGGTAATGTGAGTGTGTAAGGATGGGGAGTGGTGGATATTGATTGTTTAGATGAGATGGTGAGGGTTGGATTGGTTGGGGTTAGATTAGGTAGTGTGTTTGAGAGTGTTAGGTGGTGTGTAGTGATATTGGGGAGTAGTATATAATGGTTGTGTTGTGGGGGTTGGGAGGGGGGGGTATGGGATTAGGTGGTAGTGTGATTAGTATTGTTGTGTATTGGGGGGGGGGGGTGTGGGATATGGGGATTTTGTTGGGATGGGTTGTGTGTGGTGGGGGGGGGGGTGTATTGGGTATGGGGTTGGGTTTGAGTGGGTTGGGGTTTGTGTTTGTTGTTGGGGGGGTGTAGGTGTGGATGGGTTGTTGGGGTTTGGTATTTTGGGGGGTAGTTGTTGTTGGGTTTTGTGTGGAATGTGGGTTGTGGGGGGGTGTGGGGGGTGTTGGGTTGTGTGTGTGGGGGGGTTAGGGTTGTTTTGTGGGGAGTTTGTGGTGTGGGGTGGTGTTTTGGGGATTGGGTTGTAGTGTGAGAGGTGGGTGGGGTTGGGGGGTAGTGGGTGGTGGTTGGGGTGGGTGGGGGGGGTGGGGGTTGGGGGTGGGGGTGTTGGGTGTTTGTGTTTTGGTTGGTGGTTTGTTTATGTTGGGGTGGGGGGGGTTGTGTGTAGGTGGGGGGGGGGTGTGGTGGGGTGTTGTGGGTTGTTGGGTGTTGGGTGGGGGGGGGGGGGGGGGGGGTTGGGTTTTGAGTTGGTGTGTGTTGTGTGGTTTTGTTGTATGGTGTGGTTTGAGGGTGGGGGGGGGGTTTGTGGGGGGGGGGGGGTGTAGGGTTTTAGGTTTGATATTGGGTTGGTGGGTTTTGGGTGTTGGGGGGGGGTGGGTGTATTGTTGATGTGGGTGGTGGGGGGGGGTAGGGTTGTGGGGGGGGTGGGGGGTGTGTTTTGGAGTTTGTAGGTGTTGGGTGGGGTGTGTGGGTTAGGGTGGTGGGTTGGATGAGGATTTGATTGAGTTTAATGAGGGGTTTGTGTGTGGGGTTGGGTTTGTGTGGGGATGTGTTGGATGGGATGGGGGGGTTTTTTGTGGGGTGTGTGGGTTTTGGGGGGGGGGGGTGGGTGTGGGGGGGGTGTGGTGTGTTGGGGTTTGGTGGGGTTGGGTATTTGGGGGAGGGGGTTTGTGGGTGTGTGGGGTTGGGTTTGGGGTTTGGGGGGTGGGGGTTGGTTTGTGTGGGGGGTGGGGTGGGTTGGGGGTTGGGAGGGGTTTAGGGGAGTTTTGGGTGGGGGGTTGGGTGGGGGAGGGGGGGGGTTTTGTTTGGGGGGGATGTAGTGGATGGTGGGTGTGTGTGTGTTGGGTTTTATTTATGAGGTGTGATAGATGGTGAGGTGGTTTGTGGGGGGATGGTGGGTTTTTGGGGGGGGGGGGGGGGGGGGGGGGGGGGGTTTGGGGGGGGTGGTGGTAGATTGGGGTATGTGGTGGGGGGGTGGTGTGGTTGGTTGTTGTGGGTGTGGGGTTGGGTGGGGTGTGTGTATGGTGGGGGGGGTGTGGGGATATGGGAGGTGTGGTGGTGTTTGGGGGGGGGTGGTTTTGTTGGGGGTGGGGGTTTGTGTTTGTGGTGGGTTGGGTGGTTTGGGGGTGGGGTTGTGTAGTGGTGGGGGTGTGTGTGGGGGGTATATTGGGTGGGGTGGGGGGGTGGGTGGGGGGGGGTGGTGGGGGGTGTGGGGTGGGGGGTGGGTGTTTGTGTGTGGGTTGTGGTTGGGTTGTGGGGGTGGGTGGGTTTGGTGGGGGTTGGTGTGTGGGGGGGGTTGTGGTGGTTGTTTGGGTTTGGGGTTTTGGTGGTTTTGTGTGGTGGGTGTGTGTGTGTGGTGGTGTGGGTTGGTTGGGGGGGTGTTTTGGGTGGGGGGGGTGGGGGGTGGTTGGGTGGGGTGTGGGGGGGGGTGGGGGGTGGGTGGGGTGTGGGTGGGGGGGGTGGGGGGGGTGGGGGGTGGGGGGGGGGGGGGGGTGGGGGGGTGGTTTGTGGGTGGGGGTGTGTGGTTGGGGGGGGGTGTGGTTGGGGGGGTGGGGTGGGGTGGGTGTGGGGGTGGTGGGTTTGTGGGTGTGTGGGGGTGGTGTGGGGTTTGTGTTGGGGGGGGTGGGGGGGTGATGGTTGGGTTGGGGTGGTTGAGGGTGTTGTGGTTTGTGGGGGTTGTTGGGTGTGTTGGGGGTGTTGGGGTGTTGGGTGGGGGTGGGGTTGTTGGGGGTGGTTGTGTGGGGGGGTGGTGGGAGTGTGTGGGGGGGGGGTGTGGGGTTTTTTTGGGGGTGTTTTTGGGTGGTTTTGGGTGTGGGGGGGTGGGGTGGGGGTTGGGGGGGGTTTGGGGGTGGGTTGGGGGTGGGGGGGGGGGGTGGGGGGGGGGGGGGGGGGGTGGGGTGGTGGGGTGGGGGGGGGGTGGGGGTGGTGGGTTGTGGTGTGGGTGGTTGAGGGTGTGGGGGGGGTGTGGGTGGGGGGGTGGTGGGTTTGTTGGGTGTGGGGGTGGGGAGTGGTGGGGGTGGTGGGGGGGGGGGGGGTGTGGGGGGGGGGGGGTGGGGGGGGTGTGGTGGGGTGGTGGTTGGGGGGGGGGGGGGGGGGGGGGGGTGGGGGGGGTGGGTGTGGTGGGGTGGGTTGTGGTTGTGGGGGGGGGGGGGTGGGTGGGGGGTGGGGGGGGGTGTTGGTGTTTGGGTGGTTGGGGGGGTGGTGTGTGGGGTAGGGTGGTGTGTGTTGGGGGGGGGTGGGGTGGGGGGGGGGGGTGTTTGGGGTTGGGGGGGTGGGTGGGTTGGTGGGGTTGTGTGTTGTGGGGGGGGGTGTGGGGGTGGGTGGGTGGTGGGGTTGGTGTGGTTTGTTGTGTTGGGGGTTGGGTGTTTTGTGGGGGGTTGGGTGGGGGGGGGGGGTTGTGGGGGTGGTGTTTGTGGTGTGGGGGGTGTGGGGGGGGGGGGGGGGGTGTGTGTGGTGGGTGTGGGGGGGGGTGGGGGTGGGGTGGGGTGGTGGGGGTGGTGGGGGGGTGGGGTGGGGGGGTGTGGGTGGGGGGGTGGTGGGGTATGGTGGGGTTGGGGTTGTGGGGGGGATGGGGGGGGGGGTGGTAGGGGGGTTGGTGGGGGTGGGGTGGGGGTTGGGGGTGGTGGGGTGTGGGGGGGGGTGGGTGGGGGTGTGGGTGGGGGGGTTGGGGAGTGTGGTGGGTAGGGGTGGTGGGTGTTAGTGGTTTGGGTGGTTGGTTGGGTGGGTTTGGTGGGGGATGGTTTTTTTTTGTTTGGGGGTGGTTTTGTGTGATAGGGGGGGGTGTTGGGGGGGGTGGGTAGGTGGGTTGGGGGTTGTTAATATGGTTTTTGGTTGTGGGTGTGTGTGTGGGGGGGGGGGTGGTGGGGGGGGGGGTTTGAGTGTGGGTAGGGGGTGGGTTTTGTTTAGGGGGTTTTGAGGTATGGGTTGGGTGGGGTGTTGTTTTGGGGGGGGTTGGTTGTTTTTGGGGGGTGGTGTTGTGGGGTTGTGGGGGTGGGGGGGGGGTTATGGGGTTTGGTTTGGAGTGTGTGTGTGATTGTGTGTTGATAGTAAGTGGGTGGTTTGGGGGGGTGGTTTTTGTGTTTTATGTGGGTGTGTAGTGGGGGGTGGGTGGGTGTGGTATGTGGTATGGGGGATTAGTTGATTGTAGTTGGGGATTTATTGGGTGGTGTTTGGGGATTTTTTGAGGTTTTGGGGGGGGTGTGTTTTGTTGTTTGTGGTGGGGTGGTTGTGGATGATGGTGGTAGTTTGTATGGAGGGGTATTGGGGGGGAAGTTTTTTTTGTTATAGGGTGTTTTTGTATGTGGTGGGGGGGTGTGAGATGAGAAGAGTGGATTGTTTATATATGGATAGGATTGGTTTAAATTATGGTTAAGTTGGGGGGATGGGGTGAGGGTGTATGAGGGGTGTATTGTGGGGGGTTTATTTTTTTTGGTTGATAGTTGGGATGGTGGGTATAGTGTTTAAGGATTTTGATGTTTTTATTTGGGGGATGGTGAAGTTGGGGGGTTATTTGGGGTGGGTTTAATTTGTGGGGGTTTTGAATTGTTTGTAGGTAGGTGGTAGTATTATGGGTGGTAATGGGGGTGTAATGTGATAATGTTTGATAGGGGAGGGGGTAGGTAGGGTGAGGTGTGGAGGGGATTTTGAAGGATGGGAGATTGGGGGGGGGTATGGGGGGGTGGGGGGGTTTGAGGTGTGTAGGGAGGGGGGTTGGTGTAGTTGGTGGGGGATGGGTATATTGTGGGTGTTGTGTTGGGGTGTGTGGTGAGTGGTATATGTTGGGGTGGTGGTTGTTTTTGTTGGGTTTGGTGTGGGGGGGTGGGGAATTGTTGGTGGGGGGTTGTTGTTGTGTGGGGTAGTTGGTTTTTGTTTTGTTGTGGTTGGGGGATTGGGGTTGGGTTGGGTGGGGGTGGGTGGGTGTATAGTTTTTTGGGTGTGGTGTGGTTTGGGTTGTATTGTTTGGGTGTGTTGGGAGTGTGGGGGGGGTTGGGGGGTTGGTGGGGGTGGGTTGTTTTTTGTTGTAGGGGGGGGGGGGGTGGGTTTAGTGTATTGGTGGTGTGGTGTATGGGAGTGGGGGGTTTGGGGTGGTTTTTGTGGGGGGTGTGGGGGTGTTAGTGTTGTGGGTGGGTGTGGGTTGGGGGGGGTGTTGGGGGGGGGGGGTGGGGGGGGGGGGGTTGGGTGGGGTGTTGGTGTGTGGGGGTTGGTTTGGGGGGGGGGGTGGTGGGGGGGTGTTGGGGGGGGGTAGGGTGGTGGGGGGGTGGGGGGGTTGTTGGTTGGTTTTGGGTGGTGTGGGTGGGTGGGGGGGGTGGGGGGTGTGGGGTGTTGTGTGGGGGGGGGGGGGTTGTTGGGGGGGGTGTGGGGTGTGTGGTTTGGTGTTGGTGTGTTGGGGTTTTGTGGTGTGGTTTAGGGGGTGGGTTGTTGTGTTTTGGGTGTGGGTTTGGTTTGGAGTTGGTGGGGGTGTTGTGTGGGGTGTGTTTGGTTGGGTGTGGAGGTTGGTGTGGGGGTGGTGTGGTTGTGGTGTGTGGGGTTGGGTGGGGTGGTTTTGTGTTTAGGGTGGTTGTGGGGTGGGGGGTTGGGGGGGTGTGGGGGGGGGTGTGGGTGGGTGTGGGGGGGGTGTGGGGTGAGTGGGGGGTGGTGGGTTGGATTGGTGGGATGGGGGGGGGTGGTGTGGGTGTGGGGTTGTTGTGGTGGATTTGTGGGGTTGGTGAGTTGTGGGGTGTATGTTTTAGTGGGTTTTGGGGGTTGGGGTGTATAGGTTGGTTGTGGTTTTTGTGTGGTTGTTGTTTGGGGTTTGGGGGGGTGGTTGGGGGGGGGGGGGTGGGGGGGTGGGGGGGGGTGGGTGGGGGGGGTGTGGGGGTGGGGTTGGTGGGGGGGGGTGGGTGTGTTTTGTTGGGGGGTGGGGTTGGGGGGGTGTGTGGTGTGGTGGGGGGTTGGTTGTGTGGTGTTTAGGGTGGGTGGGGTTGGGGGGTTTTGGTGTTTGGTGTTGTGTGTGGTGGGTTGGGGGTGGTGGTTTGGGTGGGTGTGTTGGTGGTGGGGGGGTGGGGGGGTGGGTTGTGGTTGGTTGTTTGGGGGTTGGTTGGGGTGGGGGTTGGGGGGGGGGGGGTGGGGGTGTGGGGGGGTGGTTGGGTTTGGTTTGTGGGGGTGTGGGTTGGGGGTGTGGGGTTGTGGGAGGGTTAGGGGTGGTGGGGGGGGGGTGTTTTAGTTGTGTAATTGTGTGTTATGTGTGGTGGTGGGTGGGTTGGGGGGGGGTATTGGTGGGGTTGGTGGTGTTGGGGGGGGGGGGTTGGTGTGTGTGTGTGGGGGTTTGGGGGTGGGGGGGTGGGGGGGGGGGGGTGGGGGGTGTGGGGGGGGGTGTGTGTGGTGGGGGGGGGTTGGGGGGGTTGGGGGTGTTGGGTTTTGGTGGGTGGGGTGGTGTGGGTGGGGGTGGGTTGTGGGGTGGGGGGGTGGGGGGTTAGGTGGGTTTGGGGTTGGGTTGGGGGTGGGGGGTGTTTGGATGGATGTGGGTGGGGGGTGGTGTAGGTGGGGGGGTGGGTGGTGTGGGGGTGGGGGTGGTTGGTGGGTGTTGGGGGTGTTTGGGTGGTTTTGTTGTGGTTTGGGGGGGGGGTGGTTGTTTGGGGTGGGTGTTTGTGTTTGTTGTGTTGGGTTGGGGGTGGGGTTTGTGGTTGTGGGGGGTGGGTGTGTTGTGGTGGTGGGGGGGGGTTGTGTGTTTGGGGGGTGTTGGAGTGAATGGGGGGTGTGTGTTTGGTGGGAGGGGGTGTGTATGGTGGGTGGGTGGTGGGGGGTTTGGTTGTTGGTTGGGTTGTTTAAAGGGGGGTGGGGGGGGGTGGGGGTTGGGTTGGGGGGTTGGGTGGGGGTGTGTGTGTTTGGGGGTGGGGGGGGGGGGGGGGGGGGGGGGTGGGGGTTTGGTGTTGTTGTGTTGTAGTTGGGGTGGATGTGGTGGGGGGGTGGGGGGGGGGGTGGGGGGGTGTGGTTGGGGGGGGGGGTGGGGGGGGGGGTGTGGGGGGGTTTGGGTGTGTGGGTGGGGGGTGGTGGGTAGGTGGGGGGTGGGGGGGGGGTTTGTTGGGGGGTGGTGGGGGGGTGTTTTTGTGTTGTGTGTGGTGTGGTTGGGGTGGTGTGTTTGTGGGGTGGGGGTGGGGGGGGGGTGGGGGGGTGGTGGTGTTGGTTTGTGGTTTTGTTTGTGTGGGTGTTTTTGGGTGTTTTGGGGGTGGTTTGATGGGGTAGGTTGTGTAGAGGTAATTTGGGGTGTGGTGTGGTGGGGTGGGGTAATTGTGGGATGGGGGGTGGGGTGTTGTGTGGGTTGGTTTTTGGATGGGTGAGATGGATTGTGTGTTGGGGGTTTTTGGTGTGTATGTTGGTGTGGGTAGGTGGATGTTTTGGGGGGGGGGGGGGTGGGTGGGGTTGGGGGAGGGTTGTTTGATGTGTGTTGGGGTTTTGTGGGGGGGGTATGTGTGTATGGTTTGTGGGGGGGGTGTGTTTCGGGGTGTGTGGGGGGTGGTTGTGGGTGGTGTGTGGTGTGTGGGTGGGGTTGGTGTGGGGTGGTTGTGGTTTGGGGGGTTATGAGAGGTTGTGGTGGGGGGGGGAGGGTGGGGGTGGGTGGGGGTGTGTGGTGGGGGGGGGGGGGGTTGGGGGGGGGTTGGGGTGTGGGGTGGTGGAGGGGGGTGGGGGGGGGGGGGGGGGTTTGGGGGGGGGGGGGGTGTGGGGTGGTGGGGGGGTGGTGGGTTGGGGTGGTGGGGGGGGGTTGGGTGGTGGTGGGGGGGGGGGGTGGGGGGGGGGGGGTTGGGGGGGGGGTGGGTTGGGGGTGGTGTGGGTGTGGTTGGTGGGGGGGGGGTGGGGTGGGGGGTGGGGGGGGGGTGGGGGGGGTGGGGGGGGTGGGGGGGGGGGGGGGGGGGGGGGGGGGTGGGGGGTTGGGGGGGTGGGGGGGTGGTGGGGGGGGTTGGGGGGGGGGGGGGGGGGGGGGGGGGGGGGTGGGGGGGGGGTGGGGGGGGGTGTTGTGGTTTTGGGGGTGGGTGTGGGGGGGGTGGTGGGTGGGGGTGGGGGGGGGGGGGTGGGGTGGGGGGGTGGGGGGGGGGTGTGGGGTGGGGGGGGGGGGGGGGGGGGGGGGGGGGGGGGGGTGGGGGGGGGGGGGGGGGGGGGGGGGGGGGGGGGGGGGGGGGGGTGGGGGGGTGTGGGTGTGTGGGGTTTGGGGTGGGTGGGTTGGTGGATGGTGTGGTGGGTGGTGGGGGTGTGGTGGTGGGGGGTGGTTTTTGTGTGGGGGTTATGAGGGTGTTGGTTTTTGTGTTTTGTTAGTTTTTGTGTAGGTGTGGGTGTATTGTGTGAGTGGTTGTGGTGGTGTGTGTGGGTTTTTAGGGGGTGTTTTGGTTATGTGTGTGGTTGTGGAGGGTTTTATTTGTTAGATTTGATTGTGTGGGGGTATGGTGTGGATTTGGTATGGTTGGGGGGGTGGGAAGGTTGGGGGTTTGGGTTGGTTGGGTGGTTAATTTTGGTTATGTTTGTTGGGGTTGTGATGGTTTGTGTGTTTGGTTGTGTTGGTTTTTTTTGTGGGGGGGGGGGTGGGGTGGGGTGGGGTTGGGTGGTGTGTGGGGGTGGGTGTGGGGGGGGGGGGGGGTGGGGTGGGGGGTGGTGGGTGTTGGGGTGGTGGGGGGGGTGTTGTGGGTAGGGTGTGGGTTTTGTGTTGGGGTTTGGGGTGGTGTGGTGGGGGTGGTTTGGGGTATGTTTTGGTTGGTGGTGGGGGGGTTGTTGGGGGTGGGAGTGGTGTTGGTGGTGGTTGGGTTGGGGGGGTGTGGGGTATGTTGGGTGGGGGGGGGGGGGGGTGGTTGGGGTGGTGTGGGATGAGGGTGGGGGTGGGGTGTGGGGTGTTGGGTTGGGTTGTTGGGGGGTATTTTGTGGTTTTTTATGGTGGGGGGGGTGGGGTTGGTGTTTTGTGGGGGGGGTGTGGTTGTGGGGTGTGGGTGGGGGTGTTGTTAGAGGTTAGGTGGTTGTTGGGGGGGGTGTGGGTGTGTGGTGGGGGGTGGGTGTGTTGGGGGGGAGTGGGGTGGGGGGGTGGGTTGGGGGGGGTTGTGGGGTTGGTGTTGTTGGGGGGGTAGGGGGGGGATTGGTTTGTGGGGGGTTGGGGTGGGGGGAGTTGGGGTGGGGGTTGGTGGGGGGGGGGGGGGGGGGGGGGTGTTAGGGGAGTGGGGGGTTTAGTGTTATGGGGGTGTAGGTAGTTAGTGTTTTAAGTGGATTTGATTTGGGGGGGGTTGAGTAGGTTGATTGTGGGGTTTGGGTTGTGGATTGGTGTGTTGTTTGAGGTAATGGGGGTATTGTGGTGGTTTGTGAAGAGTTTTTGTTTGGGGGGGGTTAGGTTTGGATGGTAGTGGTTTGGGTAATTTTTTTGGGGGTGGTTGGTGGGGGGGGGGGGGGGGTGTGGGGGTGTGGGTGGGGGGGTTTGGGGTAGGGGTTGTTTGTGGTGGGGTGTTTGGGGGTTGGGGTAGGGGGTGGGTTGTTTTTTTGTTTTTTGGGAGTTTATTTGTTGAGGGTATGTTGGATTGGGGGTTTTGGTGGGTGGGAGTGGATTGGTTTGGTTGGTAGGGGTGGGATGGTTGTGTGGGGGGTTGGATGGTTTTTGGTGTTTTTGGGGTTTGTTGGTGGGGGGTGTGTGTGGGTGTGTAGTGTTTGTGGTGGTGTTGTGTGTGTTGTTTGGGGGTTGGTTGGTTGGTGGGGGGTGTGGGGGGGGGGGGGGTTGGGGGGGTGGGGGGTGTGGGTGGTGGGTTGGGTGTTGGGGTGTGGGGGGTTGGGGGGGGTTTGGGGGTGGGGGGGGTGGGGTTTGGGGGGGGGGTGGTGGGGTTTTTTGGGTGGGTGGGGATTTTGTGGGGTGTGGGGGAGGGGGTGGGTTTGGGTTGGGGTTATTTAGGTGGTGAGTTAGGGTTTGTTAGGTTTGTTGGGTGGGTGGTTGGGGTTGGGGGGGGTTTTGGGGGGTGTTGTTTTTGTGATTTGTGGTGTTTGTTGGTTTGGTGGTGGGGGTAGGTGGGGATGTGTTTTTGTTTGGGTGGAGGGGAGTATAGTTGTGAGGTTTGGGGTGTTTGGGGGTTGGGGGTGTGTGGGTGGTTTATGTTTTTTGGGGATGATGGTTTGATGTGGTTTGGGGGGGTGGGTGGGTGGTGGTGTGGGGGGGGGGGGTTGTGTGTTGGGTTTTGTGGATTTGGGGGGGGTGGGGTTGTGGGGGGATGGGGGGGTTGGGGGTTTGGGGTTGTGTGTGTGGGGGTGTGGGAGTGTGTGGGGTTTTTTGTGGTGTTTGTGTGGGGGGTGTGGTGGGGGGTGGGGGTTGTGTGTGTGGGGGTTTGTGTGTTGTTGGGGGGGAGTGGTGTTTGGGGGGGGGTTGTGGGTGGTGTGGGGGTTGTTGGTGGAGTGTGGTAGTGGGGGGAGTGTTGGTGGGGGGTGTTTGGGGGTTGGGGGATTTTGGGGGGGGTTTGGGGTTTGTGTGTGGGTTGAGTGGGGTGGGGTGGGTTGGTGTTGGTTGGGTGTAGATTGGGGGGGGGAGTGGTGTTGGTGGGATGGGGATGGTGGTGGGGTTTGGGGGTAGTGGGGGGGGGATGGGTGGGGTTGTAGTGGTTGAGGAGGGTGTGGTGGTGTGGAAGTGGGGGTTGAGGTGTTTTGAGTGTTTAGGGTGTGGGAGTGTGGTGTGGGGTTGGGGGGGTTATTGGGGGGGGGTTGGTATGGTGTGGTGGGGTGTGGGGGGGGGTGGGTGGGGTGTGGTGGGGGGTGGGGGTTGGGGGGGGTGGGTGTTGGTGGGTGGGTGGGGGGTGGTGGGGGGGTGGTGTTGGGGGGTGGGGGGGGGGTGGTGGGGTGGGGGGGGGGGGGGGTTGGTGGGGTGGTGGGGGGGTGTGGTGTGGGTGGGTGGGGTGGGGTTGTTGTGTTGGGTTTTTGTTTAATTGGGTGGTTGGTGTTTTGGGTGTTGGGTTTTGGTGGTTATGGGTGTTTATTTTTGTTTGTGGTGTGGGGGGTTTGTGATGGGGGGGTTGTGGTGGGTGGGGTGGGTGGGGGGTGGTGGGGTGGTTGGTGGGTGTGGTTTGGTTTGTGGGGGATTTAGGGTGAGGTTGGGTGGGGTGGTGGGGGGGGGGGGGGGGTGGAGGGGGTTGGTTATGGGGGGTTGGGGTGGGTGGGTTGGGGTAGTGGTTGTGGGGTGGGGGGTGGGGTTGGTGGGTGTTGGTTTGGTGTAGGTGTGTTTTGGGGTGTTGTGGTTGATTATTGTTGGGGGGGGTTGGTGTGTGTGTTGTTTGTGGTGGGGTTGGGGTTGGGTAGTGTTGTTGTGGTGTGGGGTGGGGGGGTTTGGGGTTGAGGTTGGTTAAGGGTGTAGTTTGAGTTGATTGGTGTGGTGGGGTAGTGGTTGGGTTGGGGTTGTTAGTTATTGTGTTTGGGTGGGGTGGTGTTGTTTGTGTGGTGAGTTTTTAGTGGTTATGTGGGGGTTTTAGGGTGGGTGGGGTTGGGGGGGTTGTGGTTTGTGGGTTGTTGTGGTAGGGTGTTGGGATATGTTAATTGGTTAATGTGAGGGGTAAGGTGGGGGGGGTGGGGGGATGGGGGGGGGGATAGGAGAGAGATTGAATGTAAGTGGGGTATGTATGGTGGGGTGGGGGGGGGTTAAGATGATAAAGGTGGTTTAAGGTATTTGTTTATTATAATAGGGGGTTTGTTGGGGTGGTTGGGTTGAGGAGTTGAGTTTTTGAGGAGAGAGATTGGGGTGTTGAGGAGATTTGAGGGTATTAGGAAATGTTGTGGGGTGGATATGGGGGTTTTAATGGGGTTGAATGGTGAGTTGTATTAGGAATGGAGGAATGGAGAGAGAATGTGTGATTGTTTTGGTTGGGATATGATAGGAATTAGTAGGGATTAATAAAGGGAGAGAGAGGGAGGGGTGTTGGGGGGGTTTGGATATGGGGTAGATGGGAGTGGTATGGGGTTTTATGGTTGGTGGAGGATTGGGGTGGTGAGTTAGGTGTGGTGTTGTTAATTAAGTGGGATGGAGGTTGGATTGTAGTTTGGTTTTTATAAATTTATGGGAGTGATTGTGGTTGTGTTAATGGGTTTTGGTGAAAATTTTTGGTGGATATGAGGTTAGTGTTTAGGTTTTTGGGGTTGTAAGTGGGGTGGGGGTTGTGTGGAGTGGTTGGGGGGGTTGAATTTGGGGTTAGGTGTTTTGTGGTGGGGTAATAGGGGGAGGTGATGTGTTGTGTGGGGGTTGAATAATAAAGGGGTGGGTGGATGGTTTTGGGTGTTATTTAGGGAAGGGATTGGGTGTGGGAAATTGTGGTGAGGGTTGTTTGGGATTAAGATTTGGAAAAAATTATGATGATTAGGGGGAGATGTGGGTTAGATTATTAGAGAGAGGGTAATAGATGGGGTGATTTGAGAGGGTGGGGGTTGGGAGGTGATAGAGAATATGGTTAGGTAATTGAAGGTTGGTTTTTAATAGATGGGTATGGAGGGGGGAGAGAAGGAGGAGAAGAGAGGAGGAGGATGAAGAAGGAGATAGTTAAAATATGAAGAAGTATGATATTTAGAGAGAAGTGGATGGGGAAGAAAAAAAAGTTATAGAGAGGGAGGGTTGGTTATGGGTGTGTGGTTTGTGTAATAAGGTTGGGGTAATTTGGTGGGTGTGGATGTATAGGAAGGGGTGGGGGGTGTGGGGGTTGATATTGGGGGGGTGGGAGGGGGGTGTTGATTTGGGTTTTGGGGGTTGGAGTGAGGTGGGTTTAGAGGTGTTTGGGGTGTGGGGTGGTGAGGGGTTTTAGGTGAGTTGTAGGGGGTTGGGGTTTGATGTGGTATGTGGTTGGGTTTGGTGTAGAGTTATTAGTTTGTTTGGAGGATTTGGGGTAGATTATGGATATGGGTTTTTTGGAGAGGAAGTTTTGTAAATGGAGGTGATTTTGATGAGGTGGAGGGGTGGGGTGTGGGGGGTTGTGGGGTTGGGTGGTGTTGTTGGGGAGGGGTAGTTGTAGGAGGTGTTGTGTTTGTAGGGATGGGGGGGGTGGGGTGAGGGTGTAGGTTGGGGGGGGTATGGAGATTGGTGGTAGTGGAGAAGATATATTTGTGTGGTGGTGGGGGTTGGGTTGATGTATTGGTAATTATGTGGATTTAATTTTTGGGGTTTGTGATTTGGTGTGATGATTGATTTTAATGATATTGGGTTTTGAAGATGTTATGTGGGGGTGGGGGGATAGAGGGGGAGGAGTGGTATGTAAAGGGAATGGGGTGGGTGTGGGGTTGTGGGGGTGGGGGTGGTTGTGTGGTGGGTTTTTGGTGTGGAATTTTGGTGTTTTTGTGGTGGGATGGGGGGGGGGGGGGGTGGGTGGGGTGTTGGTTTGTGGTGGGGTTGGTGGTTGGGGGGTTGGGTGGGTGGGTGGTGGTGGTGGGGGGGTGGGTTTGTTGGGGGGTTTTGGTTTGGGGTGTGGGTGGGGGGGTGTGGGGGGTGGTTGGGTGTGTGGGGGGGGGTTGGTGTGGTGTGTTGTTGTGGGGGTGTGTTGGGGTTTGGTGTGTGGGGGGAGGTTGTGGGGTGGGGGGGTGTGGTGAGGGGTGGTGGTGGGTTTGGGGGGTGGGTGGTGGGGGGTGTTTGGGGGGGGGTGTTGTGGTTGTGTTGTGGGGTGGGGATGGGGGGGGTTGTGGTGTGGGGTTGGGGGGGGGTTATGTATGGGGGGGGGGGGGGGTTGTATTTGGGTTTGTTGGGTGGTGGGGGTGGGTGTGTGGGGGGTGGGGTGGTTGGAGGTTGGTTGGGGGGGGGTGAATGGAGTTGTGAGTTGTGGGGTGTTGTTGTGTGGGATGTGGGATGTGGTGGTGGTTTGGGTGTAGGGGGGGTGGGGGTAGGTTTGGGTTGGTTGTGTTTTGGGGGTTTTTTTGTTTGGGTGTGTTGTGGGGGAGTGGTTGAGAGGGTTTGTGTTGTTGGGGTTGATAGGTAGTTGGGGGGGGTAGGTGGATATAGGGGTGATAGAGGTTTATTTTGGGGTTTTTTGGTAGTATGTTGATGAGAATGGATTGAGATGAGGAGATATTGTGGGGGGGGGGGTGTGTGTTTTGTTGTTATTATATTGTTGTTATTGTTGTTGTTGTTGGGTGTTTTGTTGTTGTTGTGTTGGGGAGTTGTTGTGGTTGTGATTGTTGTGGGTGGGGGGAGAGTGGTGGGTGGGGGTGTGTTTGTTGATGTTAATGTTAGCAGGTTGTGGTTGGTGGTGGGTGATGTAACAATGTAAAGGGTATGGATTATTAAGGTTGGTTTGTTAATATGAATGGTATGTGGGTAGAGGAAGTTGGTAATTATGTTTTTGGGGGGTGGGGGTGGTAAAAGGGGTGGATAGTTATGTGTGGGGGTGGATTGGGTTTGTGTTTGTAAATGTTGTAGGAGGGGGTGTGTTTGGGAAGTGTCATGTAGTAGGGGGGGGGGGGGGTGAAGGGTTATGGGTGGGGTTTGTTTGTGGGGGAGGGATGGGTGGGGTGAGGGGGTGGTTGGATGGGGGGTGGGTGGTTGTTGTTGTTTGTTGTTGGGAAGTGTGGAGGAAATATTGGGTTTTGGGATGGGGGTGGATAAATATGTATATATGTATGTGTATATTTATATTATATGTATATATATATGTATATGTTTATGTATGATGTATAATGTATATGTATGTGTGTATGTGTATATGTATATGTATATGTATATGTTATTATATGTATATGTATGTGTTATGTGTATATTGTATATGTATATGTATATGTGTATGTGTATATTTATAGGTATATGTATATATGTATATGTATGTGTGATGTGTAATATTATATTTTATATATTATGTGTGTATGTGTATATGTATATGTATATGTATATTTAAATTATGAAATGTATGTGTTTTCTGTTTATATGTATATGTATAGTATATGTATGGGGTTTTATTTGTATATGTAATGTATATGTATATGTGATATGATATGATTGATTGATTAGGGATTGATTGGGTGGTGGGTGTTGAAAGGGGGAAGTATTTTGATTAGATTTGAGAAGATATTTAAATGTGTTATGATGGATGTTTGATGATTTATGTGTTGGGTTGGTTTATGTTTTGTATTGTTGTGATATTGTGTGTGTTTTGATATATTGTTGGTTTTTTTTAAGGTTTTTTGGTTTTGATATATTGTGGTATTGATGTTTGTTGATGTTTGTTGATGTGGAATGGTTTTTGTGGTTTTGTTTTTATTTGGGTTTTGATGGATAGGGGTGGATATAGTTTTTGTTAGGGGGGATGGGATGGGGGTTTTAGGAGTGTGGTTAGAAGGAAGAATTATTATAGAGAGGTTGTAGGTGAAATGTAGAGTGAGGATGGTTGAGTTTAGATGAAGAAAATTGGATGGAAATAGAGGGGATAGTTATTTGGGAATGAAGGGAGAAATTAAAGTGGGGGGGATGTGGATAATTATGGGAGAGTGGTAAAGGGGGATGGAAATGGGTTGTAAGGGTTATAGTGGGTTTGAGTAGGGTTTTGAGTGAGAGATAAATGTTGAATGGATGTTAAGGTTAAGAGTTGGGGATAGAAGGGGAGTGATTAGGAGGAGGGATAGGGGGGGTGGTTGATAGGGGGTATGTGATAGATGGATTATATGTATGATTGGAATAAGAAGGTGTGTATTTGGGGTGGGGGGGGGATTTTTTGGATTAATATGAGATGTGGGGGTGTTGGTGTGGTGTGGGGGGGATGGGGGGGGGAGGTTGTTTTTGGTGTATGGTTGTTGTATGATTTGTGGGGGAGGGGGGTGTTGTTTGGGGTGGGGGGGGATGGGGGGGATGATGATGGGGTATGGTAGGATTGTGGATTTTTTTTTGATTTATTTTGGTGGGGAAATTAGGTGGTGGTGGGGGGGGAAGGATAGGGGGTGTTGTTAGGGGGATATGTTGTTTGGAGTGTTTTTGGTATTTATATATAATATATATATATGATATTATTGTTAGAGATATTGGTAATTGAAGGTTATGTGGTGGGGGGGGGGGGTAGGGTATAAGAATAGGGATTGAGATATGTTAGAGATATAATTATTATATATTTTTAAATATAATATATATATAGATAGTATATTATATAGAGATATAAGAGTGTAGTGTTTAAAATTTTAGATGTGGGGGGGGGAGAATGGGGGAAATTGGGGTAAGTATGTTGTAAAGAAAATAGTGTTATGTAGTATGAAGGAGAGAGAGGGTGGAGATTAGTAGGGTGTGGGGGTTATTGTTTGGGTTTGTGTGGGTATTAGGTTTAGTGTGGTATAGTTTAGGGTTTTAGTGGTGTTGGGGTGGGGTTGGGGGTGGTGGGTTGTGTGTGTGTTGAAATTTTGGGGATTGGGGGGGTATGGAAATGTGGATTATGGGGTTTGGGGAGGTGTTGTGATTTGATGTGGGGGGGGGGGAAGGAATGGGTGTTATAGGGGTGTGTAGAGGTGGATGGGGTGAAGGGATGTAGGGGGGGTGTATAGGTGTATATAGTGATATGATTGGTTTAGGTGGGGGTATGGGTTGGGGGATGATGGGGGTTGGGGGTTGGGGTTTGGTGTGTTGGGTATTTTGATTTTGTTGGTTTTGGGGTTTGATTTTGGGTTTAGGTGGTGGTGTGAGGGGTATTGGTTTTTGGGGTGTTTTTATAGAGATTGTGGGGGGAGTATGAAGAGGTTTTTTATGAGTGTGGTGATATAAGGTAAGTTTATTTAGTTTAGTTGTTTGTGTATTGGGGGTGGGATGTGGATTTTATTGGGGATGGTGGGGAAGAAGGTAGTGTGGGAAGATGTGGGGGGGTTTTTGTTTGGTGGTGGGTGTGGATGGGGAGGTGGGAGTAAGTTTGGGGAATAGAGGGGGATAGGTGTGGGAGGGTTTTGTGGGGATGATTATGTTTTATTGGAATTTTTGTTGGTTGTAATTTAATTTGTAGTGGGGGGAGGAGGGTTGTTGTAGGGGGTTTTGGGGTGGGTGATGTGTAGAATATGTGATTTTGTTTTTGGGGGGTGTTGGTATAGGGGGGGAGTTTTGTGTGGGGTGTGGGGAGGGTTGTTTATGGTGAGTTGAGGGTTGATTGTGTGTTTGGGGGTTTGAGTTTTTTTGGGGGGGTGGTGGTTTTTTTGGGGTGGGGGGTGTTATGGGTGTGTGGGGGGGGGAGAATGGTGGTGGTGGGGGTGTAGGGTAGATGGGTAGTGGGGGTGGGGGGGGAGGTTATGGTGGTGGTATGTGGATTGTTGGTGTTGGTGTTTGATGGATGGGGGTTTTTGGGGTGTATGGTTTTTTTGGTGATTTGTTGGTAGGGAGTGTATGGGAGGGGATTGTGGGGGGGAGGGGGGGTGATGGGGTGGGGTAGGGGGGGGTGGGGGGGTAGGTTTAGGGGGGGGGGGGTGGGGGTGGGTGGGTGGGTGGGTGGTGGGTGTGTGGTAGAAGTGGGTTGGTGGGGGGGTTTGGTTGGTGTTGTGTTTTGGTTTTGGGTTGGGGTGAGGGGGTGGGTGTTTAGGGTTATTTGGTTGGGTAGTGGATATTGGTGTTGGGTTGGATGTGGGGTGGGGGTGGGTGGGGTGTTGGGTTTGTGTGGTTATGGGTGGGTGGGGTTAGGTTTATGGGTAGGAGGGGGGTGTGTGTAGGGGGGGGGAGGGTGTGGGGGGGGGAGGAGGATAGGGGTTTGAAGGGTGGTTTATGGTTGTATGAGGGAAGTGGTATTATTGAGAGAATGGAGGGTGGGGGGGGGAAGGTGAAGGGTGAGGAAGGGTTTAGGTTTTTTAATGGGGTGATTTTATGGTTTGTGGGGGGGTGTTGGGTAGAAGGTTTTTGTGTAAGTTGGAATTGTGGAGAGGGGGTGGTAAGTGTGGTTTATTTGATGTAATGGGGTAGAATTTGGGGAAGGGTAGGGGGGTTGGAAGTTTATAGGAGGGTTTTAGTATGGAGGAATTTGTAGTGTGTTGATATGGATTAATTGGGGGGTTTAGGATATGGGGTATGGGAATATAGATGATAATAATGGGGAGGGTTGGTGTGTGTGGGTTGTAGGGGGAATGAGGGGTTTGGGAATGGGTTTGGTATAATGTTGATTGTTAATTGTTGGGTGGTTGGTAGGTTGTTATGGGTGAGGGTTTAGATGTTGTTAGATTAGTGGATGAGTTGTAGAATTGATGGTGTTGGTAAGGTGTGGTAGGATTTTGATTATGATGGGTAGGTATAGATAGATTTGGGAGTTAAAGTTTGGATGGGGGGTGGTTGTGGGTGGGGTTGGTATGTGTGTAATGTGGTGATTAGGGGGGAATGTATTTGTGTATGGGGGATGTTGGTATGTTGGGGTATGGGTGTGGGAGGATGAGTGTTAGAAGGGTGGTGGGGGATTTTTGTTTAAAGAATTTGTTGGTGGTGGAGGGGATTGTTTGGGTTTTTTTTGGTTGGGGGGTGGTGATGGATGGGGGTGGGTGGGGGGGGGTGAGGTTAGGGGGGGGGGGTGGATGTGTGTTGTTGGTGGTTGTGGGGTGTTGGGTGTGTTGGAGGTGGGGGGTGGTTGGGGGGTGTATGGGTTGGAGGTGTGGTGATTGTGTTGAGGTGTTTTTGGGGGTGTATATATAGGTTTGTTTTGTGATTAGGTTGGTTTTTGTTGTTGGGGGTAGGGGGTGGGTGGTTTGGGGGTGGTGGGGTTTGGGGTTTTGGTGTGTTTTTGGGGGGGGGTGGGGTTGGTGGGGGGGGGGGGGGGGGGGGGGTTGGGTGGGTGGGTTTTGTTTGTGTGGTATGTTTGGGTTGGTTTGTAGGTATGGTGGGGGGTTGTGTGATGGTGGTTGTGTTGGATTGTTGGGTGGGGGGGTTTTGTGTTGGGTTTGATGGGGTTTGTTGGTGTGTAGGTGGTGGGGGTTGGTGAGGTATGTGTGATGTTGGTGGGTTGGGTTTTTTGTGAGTATGGGTGTTGGGTGAGTGTTTAGTGGGTTGGTTGGTTGGTGTAGTGGTTTGGTGGTGGGTGGGGGGTTTGTGGGTGGTTGGGTGGGGGTATGGGGGGGGGGGTGGTAGTGGGGGTTTGTGGTGGGGTTTAGGGGGGTAGGGTGTTTATGGGGGGGGGGGGGTTGGTTGGGGGATGTGGGGGGGGTGGTGGATGTTGGGGGGGTAGGGGGTGGGGGGGGTGGAATGGGGGGGTGGTGTTGGGGAATTGGGTGTGGTGGGTTGGTGTGTTTGGGGGTGTGGGGGGGTTGGGGTGGGGGGGGGTGTGGTAGTTTGAGTGTGGGGGGGGGGGGGGTGGGGGGGGGGGTTGGTGGATGGTTGGGTGTGGGGTGGGGGTGGGGGGGGGTGTGTTTGTGTGGGTGGGGGGTATGGTGTGGGGTTTGGGGGGTTTGGAGTGGTGGTGTTGGTGGGAGTATTTGGTGGTTTTGAATTATTTTGTGGGGGGGTGTAGGGGGTAGGGGGGGGGGTATATGATTTTAGGGTGGGGGTGGGGGGGGAGTTGGGGAGGTGGGTGTGGGGGGGGTAGATGTTGGGGGGGTGTGGGGGGTGGGGGGGGTAGGTTTTGGGGGGGGGGGGGGGGGGGTGGTTAGATGTGTTTAGATTTGGTGTATTTATTTGTGGGGTTAGGGTAGATGGTATTTGATATTTTGTGGGTGTTGTTGGTGGGGGGGATTTAGTTCGGGGGGGTAGGGGGGGGTTTGGTTGGTGGTGTTGGGTTGAGGGGGGGAAGGTTGTGTGTAGGTGGGTGTGGTGGTGGTTGGTATTGTTTGGGGGGTTGGGGGGGGGGGTTGTTGGGGTGTGGGTTTGGTGTTGTGTGATTGGGTGGTTGTGGTGGGGTTTTTAATTTTGTGTTTTGTGGATGGGGGGTAGGGGGTGTGTGGGGGGTGGGGTTTGTAGGGGTGGGGGGGTGTTTTGGGGGGGGGTTGGGGTGTGGGGGTGGGGTTTTTGGTGTTGGGTTGGGGGGGGGTTGGGGGATTGGTGTGGGGGGTGGGGGGGGGGGGGGGTTGGGGGGGTGTGGTGGTATGGTGTGGGGTTGTGGGGGGGTGGGTTGGTATATGGGTGGGGATTGTGGAGTTGGGAATAATGGTGATAGGGGATAAGGGGGGTGGGGCGTGGGAATTGGTGGGGTAATTTTGAGTGTTGGTGGGGGGGGGGGGGGTTAAGGGGGTAGGTGGGATGGTGGGATTTGTGGTTAGGTTTGGTTTTGTAGTTGATTGTGTAGGGGGGTGTTAGGGTGAGTGGTGATAGGTGTTTGTTTTAGTGGGGGTGGTATTGTTTGTGTGGGGGGGGGGGGTGGGGTGGGATAGTAGGGGGTTGGGATTTGGTTTTAATGGGGATGATAGTAATTGTGTTGTTGGATGGGGGGGGGTGTATGGGTATTTGGGTGTTTTGAGTATTGTTGATAATGTATTAAATAATGAGGTGGTGGGGGATTTGTGAAGAGGTGGTTTTTTTGTGTTGGATTGTGAAGTGGGGGGGTGGATTTTGGGGGGGAAGGAGGTGGAATAATAATTTTGGGGGTTTGGGTGGGGGGGGGTTGGGGTGTGATGGTGTTTTGAGTGGAGTAAGTTTGGTTGATAATTGTTGGGTGGGGATTGGAGGGGGGTATTGGGGTGATGGTATTAGGGATGGGTATGGGTGGTTAGAGTTAGGGGTGGGTGGGTGGTGTGGGGTAGAGGGTTAGGGGATGTAGGATAAAGGTGGGGTTGGAGTAGTTGGGGGTGGTGGGGTTATGGGGTGGGGTTATGGGGTTATTATGTGTTGTTTGGTTGATAAAGAGGTAAGTTATTTGTGGTTGGAAGGAGAGTGGGGTGGGGATGGGTTGGGATAGGGGGTGGGGTTTGGGGGTTGTTTTTTATTTATGTTGGGTTGTATTGGTATTGGTGGGTAATGGTTTTGGTGGTGTATTTGGTTGATGAGGGTTTTTTTTTTTGTTTGATGGTGTTTTGGTTAGAGGGTGTGGGTGTGTTGTTGTTATGGGATTGTGATTGGTTTGGTGGGGGTGTGTGGGTGTTTGGTGTGAGGTGGGGGGTGGGTGGGTGGGGTGGTATTTGTTGATTTGGTGGGTGATTGGGAGGAGGGTTAGGTGGGTGGTTTGGTGGTAATTGGGGGATTTTGTGTTGGGGTTTAGGATGTTGTTGGGGGGTGGTGGAGGTGGGTGTTTGTTTAAGATTTGATGGTGATTATTTTTTGATTGTGGGGGGGGGTTGTTATTTGGGGGTTTTGTGTGGGGTGGGGGAGGGGTGGGTTGGGTTGTGTGTTGTGGGGATTTTGGGTGGTTGTGATTGGGTGGTTTGGGGGGGGGTTGGTGTGGGGGGGGGGTGGGTGTGTGGGGGTTGGGTGTATGTGGGGTTGTTGTGGGTGGGGTGGTTTTTGGGGGGGGGTTTGGGGGGTGGTGTTTGGGGTTTTTGTGTTGTGTTAGTAGGTTGGAGGTGTTGGTGGGTTGGTATTGGGGTGTTGTGGGTGTGGGTGTTGGGGGTTGGTTGGTTTGGGGTGTGGGGGATGTGGGAGGTGTGGGGGGTGGGGTTTGATTTGTAAGTTGGGGGGTGTGTAGATGGGTTGGTGGTGGTGGGGTGTGGGTGTTTGGTGGGGTTGTGGTTGGGGGGGGTGGGGTGGGGGGGGGGGGGGGTGTTGGGTGTGTTGGTGGGGGTTGTGGGGTTGGTTGGGTTGTGGTGGTGAGGATTGGTGGTTTGTGTGTGGTGAGGTGGTGGGGGTGGTTGGGGGGGTGTGTTGGGGGGGTGGGGGGGGGTGGTGGTAGGGGGGTTGGTTTGGTGTTATTGTTAGGTGTGGATATGGTTGGGTTTGGTATTTTTGAGGGTAATGGATTGTATGGGTTGTTGGGTATTGTTGGTGTGGTTTTGTGGTGGGTGGGTTGGGTTATGGGATTTGTGGTTGGTTGTGTGTATGATTATTGGTTTGGGTTGGGGGGGGGTTGTAGTGTTTGTGTGGGTTGTATGGGGGGAGTTGGGGGGTGGGGGGGGGGGTGGGTTGGGGGGGGATTGTGGTTTGATGGATTGTTGGGGGTGGGGGGGTTTGGTGTTTTTTGGGTGTGGGTTGGGTGGGTGTTGGGGGTTGTTGGTGGGGTTGTTTTGGGGGTGGTGGGGGGGGTGGATGGTGGGTGGGGTTGGGGGGGGTGGGTTGGTTTTGGGGGGGGGGTTGTTGTGGGGGGGGTTGGGTGTGGGGGTGGGGGTGGGGTGGGTGTGGTTGGGGGGGGTGGGTTTGGTGTTTTTGGGTGGTGGTAGGGTGGTTATGATGTGGTTGGGTTAGGGGGGTGGTGGTTGGTTGTTGTTGTTGGGGGTGTGTTGTGGGGTTTGTGGGGGGGTTGTGGGGTGTTTTGTGGGGGGGTTTTTTGTGGTGTTGTATTGGGTGTGTGGGTTTTGGTGGTTTGTGATGGGGGGGGTGGGGTTGGGTGGGGGGAATGTTTATTTGGGGTATTAATTGGGGTTGGGGGGTTTGGTGGTGGTGGTTGGATTGGGGTGGGTTTGTGTGTGGGAGGGGGGGGGGGGGGGGTTGTGGGTGGGGGGGTTGGAGGTATGGTTGGGTGGGTGGTGTGGGGGGGGGGTTGGGGGGGGTGGGTTGGGGTGGTTGGGGGGGGTTTTGGGGGGGTGGGGGGGGGTGGTGTGGTGTGTGGGTGGGTTGGGGGGGGGGGTTGGGTTGGGGGGAGGGGGGTGGGGGGTGTGGGTGGGGTGTTTGGTGTTTTTTGTGGGGGGTGGGTGGGTTGGGTGGGGGTGGTGGTGTGGTGTTTTTTTTGGGGTGTTGGGGGGGGGTGTGTGGAGGGTTTGGGTTTTTTTTGGGGTTGTGTGGGGGGGGGGGGGGGGGGTGGTTGTTGTGGTTGGTGTGGGGGGGGGTTAGGTTGGTTTTTTTGTATGGGGGAGGGGTTTTTATGATGGTATTTGATGTTTTTGTGTTTTAGGGTGTGTGGGAGGGGTTGGATGGATTGGTAATTGGGTATGTTAAATATATGGTGTGGATAGTGAGTAGTTTTAGGTTAGTATGATGTATGGGTTGTGAATTTGGTTGGGTTGGGGAGGGGTGGTGTGGGGGGGGGTTGTGTGGGTGGTTGTTGTTAAATGGATGAGTGAGATGATTTTTTGTATGGTTGTGTTGTGGGGAGGGATTTGTGTGTGTATTATTGGGTGTTGGTATGAATAATGAGAGGGGTTTTGAGTGGGGGGGTATGTTGTTTGGTGTGTTGGGTTTGGTGTTGGTGTGTGTTAGTTGGGGAGGTGGGTGGGGGTGGTTTGGTTTTGGTGTGTTGTTTGGTTGTGGGGGGGTGTGGGGGTGGGTTTGTTTTGGTGTGGGTAGGGGTGTGGTGTAGGTGGTTGGTGTGGATATGGGTGTCACATGGGTTTGTGGTGTTTTGTGAGTGGTGGATGGGGGGGGGGGGGGGTGGGATGATTGGGGTGTTGTTGGGTTGGTTGTTTTTGTTGGGGGGGGGGGGTTTGTGTGTGTGTGGATGGGTGTGGTTGGGTTGTGGGTGTGTGTGGTTGGGGGGGGGGTGAGGGTGAGTGGGGTGTTTGGGTTGTGTTGGGGGGGGTGGGGGTAGATATGTTGGTGTTAGGGGATGTGTATGTGGGGTGTGTGGGGTGGGGGGGGGGGTTTGATTGTGTGGTGGGGGGGTGTTGATATGGGTGGGGTTTTTGGTAGGGTGGTGTATGGGGGTGGAGATGGTAGTCGATGTTCCATCCTTCAGCCAGTCTCTCCTCCAATAAGCTCCTTCTCTCCACATTGCGCCTGGATACCCATCTGCTTCAAAGTCTCAACTGCACTTGCCAGCGTGGAAAAAGTTTTTTCTCCAGAATCCATCTTAACCTTAAGTCGCGCTGGATATAGGCACTTTGCCTGTATTCCCTTCTGTTTTAATTGCTTAATGACTGCGTGCACCTTCGTTCGCTTCTTCTGTAGCTCGGGAGAATAATCTTGATCAAAGAATATTCTCTTGTCTTGAAACATCACCGGTCCTTGGCTCCATGCTTGTTCTAAAACGACGTCCTTTACGGCGGCGTCAAGAAATCTCACAATGATTGATCTGGGGGGAGCCGCTGGATTTATTGGTCTGGACATAAGCGAGCGGTGCGCTCTTTCGATCTTTATGTCCAAATTAGGTGGCAACTGCAGCACTTTAGGTAGCAAAGCTTTCACAAATGCAACCATATCACGTAGCTCACTTCCCTCCGGTATTTGGAATATTCGAATGTTGTTTCTCCTCAGCCTATTTTGTAGATCATCACAAGCATCTGTGAGTTGTTTTTCACGCTGAAGCAGGTACCGCAGCACACGGTGCCGCCTCGCCCCTTCGTCCTCCACACCGCTCACTCTCACCTCCAGCTGCTGATGTTCACCGAGTTTCCCCTTAATGTCATTCACAGCCTTTTCCAGGCGTTCAAGGGTCTGTGTCGTCTGTCTATGCCCCTGACTGTTTTCTTCACAAATTTTTCTCATCTCCTGTATTAAAGACATCTCAGGCTCGCATGCTACTTGTTGCTCGCGGCTAGTAGCATCTGAGCTAACTTCGTCTGTCTTCGGTGACTTATCGTCTGTTTCTTTCAGAGCACCCGATTTTCCATGTCCCCTGGTCCTCGAATTGGATGACATATTGTTCCCAAGTTGTTTTATGATATGAAAGCCTCAAATATCTGTAATTGACACAGATTTCTAACTTTTTCTGACGGAGATTCTTCTCTAGCCTGTTGTTCTTATCATGACGTCACCGGAAGCCCCTTCAGTGAGGATCTTTGAATGATCCAATGTTGTCCTAAATGACTGATGATGATAAATAGAATGCACCTGTGTGTAATCAAGTCTCCGTATAAATGCACCTGCTCTTTGATAGTCTCAGGGTTCTGTTTAAAGCGCAGAGAGAACCATGAAGACAAAGGAACACACCAGGCAGGTCCGACATACTGTTGTGGAGAAGTTTAAAGCCGGATTTGGATACAAAAAGATTTCCCAAGCTTTAAACATCTCAAGGAGCACCGTGCAAGCAATTATATTGAAATGGAAGGAGTATCAGACCACTGCAAATCTAACAAGACCCGGCCGTCCCTCCAAACTTTCATCTCAAACAAGGATAAGACTGATCAGAGATGCAGCCAAGAGGCCCATGATCACTCTGGATGAACTACAGCTGAGGTGGGAGAGTCTGTCCATAGGACAACAATCAGTCGTGCACTGCACAAATCTGGCCTTTATGGAAGAGTGGCAAGAAGAAAGCCATTTCTCAAAGATATCCATAAAAAGTCTCGCTTAAAGTTTGCCACAAGCCACCTGGGAGACACACCAAACATGTGGAAGAATGTGCTCTGGTCAGATGAAACCAAAATCCTAACAGAATTCTCTGACTTCATTTCAAACCTAGTTTTGGAATGGGAAAACATAGTTATAACTGGAGACTTCAATATACATGTGGACGACAGCACTGACAGCTTAAACAAAGTTTTCAGCGCCATACTAGATGGTGTTGGTTTTACTCAGAATGTTGAGGAACCTACTCACATTCATAAGCACACCTTGGACCTTGTCCTGACCTTCGGCTGTGATGTCTCCAATGTTGACGTCCAGCGTCAAAACTCGTTTCTGTCTGACCATTTCTTGATCACGTTTGATCCCGATTTGGAGGACTTTCCTGCGCCGCAAGATAAAACTATAATGAAAAGAACCTTAAATGATAAATCTATCACAAGGTTCAAAGAACTAATACAGCCTATGTTGAATACTGCTGCAGGTGAACCTGTTCACAGCTGCTGCAGTCCCTCAGTCATTGACCAAACAGTGGACAACACTATGGAGTCTTTAAAATCTGCATTAAATGCAGCAGCTCCTTTAAAACAGAAAACTATTATGATTAGATCATCGTCGCCCTGGTACAGTGTTCAACTCCACACTTTAAAACAGGACGTCAGAAAATTGGAGAGGCTATATCGCCACTCCCACTCGGAGCCTGTCCACAGGGAGTGGAAAGCAGGTCTCTGGAACTATAAGAATGCCCTTCGCAGGGCTCGAACTCAAAACTATTCAACTTCAATAGAAGCGAATAAAAATAACAATAGATTTTTTTTTAGCACCGTCGCTAAACTCACAAACTGCCATAGCGCAATCGAGCCTAAAATTCCAAGCTCACTGAGCAGTGTCGACTTTCTCCACTTCTTTAATAATAAAATTACATCCATTCGTGACAAACTGGAGGAGGTTGCTCCTGCTGTTAGTGGTGGACAGGCTGAAGCGGCATACTTGACTTCCCACTTAGACTCTTCAGTGGGCCTCGATAAATTCATGGCTGTGAGCCAAGCAGAGGTGATCTCTGTGGTCACATCCTCAAAAGCCTCAACTTGCATGTTAGACGCAGTCCCGACATGGCTCTTCAAAGACATACTTCCTTTGATAATTGAGCCTATCGTAAATATAATAAACGCATCCATACAATGTGGCTATGTCCCACAAGCTTTTAAAACCGCGGTAATCAAACCCTTCTGAATAAAAACAAACCTGGACCCAGAAATACTTACAAACTACAGACCGATCTCAAACCTCACTTTCATATCTAAAATCCTGGAAAAACTTATAGCTGAGCAGCTTTGCTGCCACCTGCAGGAAAATAATATGTTTGAAGTCTTTCAATCAGGATTCAGAGCTCATCATAGCACTGAAACGGCACTAGTCAAAGTCACAAATGACTTACTTCTAGCTGCTGATAATGGACAAGTGTCAGTGCTGGTCCTACTGGACCTTAGTGCTGCATTTGACACAATAGACCACAGCATTCTACTGCAGAGGCTAGAATGTGATATAGGTCTTAGAGGAACAGCCCTTGGCTGGTTTAAATCCTATTTATCACATCGGTATCACTTCGTCAACGTAAATCAGAACTTGTCACCTTATTCTGGAGCGGAATTCGGTGTGCCGCAGGGTTCGGTACTCGGACCGATTCTATTCACTCTCTACATGCTGCCGTTAGGAAACATTATTAAAAAGCATGGGATTAATTTCCACTGCTATGCAGATGACACACAGCTTTATCTGTCAATGAAGCCAAATCAGACAGATCAGCTAGAAAAGCTTAGTGCCTGCATAAAGGACCTTAAAATGTGGATGACTCTTAACTTCCTACTTCTCAACCCGGAGAAGACAGAAGTGATCCTACTCGGTCCGAAGCGCCTGCGTGACTCCCTCACTGACCAGATAATTACTCTCGATAATGTCAGTATTATACCCAGTAACACTGTGAGGAATCTTGGAGTCATTTTTGACCAAGAACTCTCCTTCAAGGCTTATATAAGCCAAGCGACTAAAACGGCGTACTTCCACTTACGGAACATCGCTAAAATTAGGAATTTCCTTCCTAAAAGTGACGCGGAAAAACGTATTCACGCTTTTGTCACCTCAAGGCTCGACTACTGTAACGCTTTACTGGCAGCGTGCCCTAAAGCCTCTTTGAAGAGCTTCCAGCTCGTTCAGAATACAGCAGCTAGGATCTTAACAGGTACCAAAAGGAGGGAGCACATAACTCCGGTGTTAAAATCACTCCACTGGCTCCCTGTGGAGTACAGAATAAAGTTTAAAATCCTTCTCTTATCCTATCTCCAAGACACGTTAGTGTCATATCAACCAAGTCGAGCGTTGCGCTCACAAAACGCCAGACGTCTGGTGGTTCCTAAGGTCTCAAAAATCACTGTTGGCGGCAGAGCATTTAGCTACCAAGCTCCTTTACTGTGGAATCAGCTTCCCATTTATGTTAAGGAAGCAGATACGGTCTCCACATTCAAGGCCAGGCTTAAAGCACTCTACTTTAATTTAGCATATAATTAGGTAATATATAATATATGGTGTATATATTATATATATATATGCTGTATTATGTTATATATTACACAATATATGTATTATGTTGTGTATTATGTTATATATTATGCTGTATGTTATGTTATGTATTTAATATATATAATATGTATGGTACATGTGATATATATGATATATAATATATAATTAGGTTTGCCTGGATCGGTTTGCACACCTGGTGTGCAATCCATGAATCTTGGTTGGTCTGAGTTGGCTCACAAAGTCCTGTCTGCTCCTAAACAAACAAAAAACTGTTTGTATGATGTTCTCTAAAAAGGCCTCTAACATCAGCCGCTCCAATGTGTTTATTGAAAATCAGGAACTACAACTAGTAACAGAATTTAAATACTTAGGGGTGTTAATAGACTCCACATTATCCTTTAAAAAACACGTGAAGATGATTGGTAATAGAATTAAGTTCAGCGTTTCCAATTTTAATCATATAAGGAGGTCATTAACAGACGAAGCGGCCTTGACGTTTTTGCACTGTATGATTTTTTCCATGTAAGCTATTGTATAACGTGTTGGTCACTAACAGGTGTAACAATCCTAAAGCCAATTGAGAGGCTCTACAAAAAAGCACTGAAAGTTTTAGACAAAAAACCTTACACTTACCATCATTGTAGTATCCTCTCAAAATATAAACTATTAAGTTTTGAGAACTTTATTAAATTCAAAAATGCTTGTCTCATATACAAAAGTTTACATGGGTTAGCCCCCCCTCCTCTGAACGATCACATTAGATACAAAACTTCAACTTCACGAACCACCAGAGCCATGAGTCAAGGTGATTGTGAGGTTCCTGCGAGAAAAACTACTTTCGGACAAAATTTTCTGTCGTACAAGGGCTGTGTGCAATGGAACAGTTTGCCGACTTCTGTAAGAGACGCCGCTAGTTTTACTTCATTTAAAAGTCTCCTAAAGGAGTGGTTAAGGTCGTCTCAAACATGCGACCATTAATAATGTTGGGGAACATGCGATAGGGTTTGTTTGCAAATAGGACATGTGTAGTTTTGGTTGACTGTAATGCAAGGATGTTATGCAGTAATGGGGTGTGTAAAATAACGGGATGTGTGCAATACTGAGATTTGTGCAATAATGAGATGTGTGCAAAAATAAGATTTGTGCAATAATGAGATGTGTGCAATAATGAGATGTATGCAATAATGAGATGTATGCAATAATGAGATGTATGCAATAATGAGATGTATGCAATAATGAGATGTGTGCAATAATGAGATGTGTGCAATAATGAGATGTGTGCAATAATGAGATGTGTGTATTAACGGGATGTGTGCAATAATCTGATGCGTGCAATTGTTGTGTGTGTGTATTAACGGGATGTGTGCAATAATGAGATGTGTGTAATAACGATATGTGTGTAATAATCTGATGCGTGCAATTTGGTGCGTGCTCTAACTTTGGTGGATTACTTAAGTGTGGTCTGTAGCAGAATACAAGGTGTTTTTTTTTCTGTTGTTTGTTTGTTTGACATTTTCCTCTTGTTTCTGTTACTGCATTTGACCCGTGTGACCCTGACCCTATGGGACTACAGATGGAAATTAGCCTTTGGCTATAATCTGGCATGTTTACATTCATGTTTTTAATGTCTGTTCATT